CGCAAAACAAAATTCCAAATTGGAAAATTCATTATTCCCTGCGAACCTACATTCTCATTTCCCCAAAAGACTTAAAAGTCAATGAATACTCTACAATTTAGAAAATGAGAATTCTTGTTTTCTCTAAATGATAACATTTTTTTTTTGTTTTAACGGATGCCACACACTAAGATTTTAACGTCGTTCTTCACATGAATGTGACACGTCAATCAACATACTGTTAAATAATGAGTTGATTTTTCTATAATTATTGCAATTTGATTTGTTCAACTTTTACACCCATCAACATCCTCATTCTCCGGAAACCAAACAAAATTCCAAAGTAGAAATTATATGCAAAAATCTGCAACTATCATTTTTCCCAAAAGACTTAAAAATTAACTATATGTTGCAGTCCTAATAGTTTAGGAATGTTATTGTGTAAATCCTATTAAATCTTGGGATATCTTTGTGGGATTCTACCATACCTTATCTTTAGATATTATCCTATTGGAGTATGAAATTTACCTCCCTTACTATTATAAATAAAGACATACCCAAAAGACTGAAAAGTTAATTAAAATATTTTTCTTCTATTTTAAGTCTTGTGTCAATGAGTACCCTACTATTTCGAAAATGAGAATTCTTGCTTCTTCTAAACCATTACACTTTTTTTTTTTTTTTGCATTTAATAAATGTCTCACTCTAGGATTTCAGTGTCATTCTTCAAATTAACGTGACAAATCAATCAATGTATTCTTAAATGGTTAGTTGATTTTTCAAAATTGTTGAAATTTCATAAGTTCAACTTTTATACCCCATCAATATCCTCATCCTCTGGATGCAAAACAAAATTCCAAAGTGAAAAATTCATTATTTCCATTGCAAACCTACAATCTCGTTTCCCCAAAAAAGTTAAAAGTCAACGAATACTCTACGATTTAGAAAATGAGAATTCTTGTTTTCTCTAAATTATTACATTTTTTCTTTTCTTTTAGTGGATGTCACACCCTATGATATTAACGTTGTTCTTCACATGAATGTGACACATCAATCAACGTACCGTTAAATATTGAGCTGATTTTTTCCAAAATTGTTGCAATTTGATTGTTCAACTTTTACACCCATCAACATCCTGAGTCTACGGAAACCAAACAAAATTCCGAAGTAGAAATTATATTATTCTAGCTGCAAATCTGCAACTCTCATTTTCTCCAAAAGACTTAAAAATCAACTATATGTTGCAGTCCTAATAGTTTAGGAATGTGATCATGTAAATCTTATTAAATCATGGGATATCCTTGTGGAATTCTACCATATCTTATCTTTAGATATTATCCTATTAAAGTTGTAATCATATTGAGGTATGAAATTTATCTTTCTTACTACTATAAATAATCTTAGTAAAATACCAAATTTATTGATAAATGATATCTTGCTATATTAATAGAATTTAGGTGGTCCCAAGGTTAATGTACGTTATAGGCAAGCACAACATAGAGAAAACTCAAACTTCTCAGTTCTTTAGGCATAAAAAAGTACCTAACCGAACCAGCATCCTATTCTGTACTCAAAGTTTGGTTGAGAAGTCAAATCTCGCACAAACATACAAAATCATTATATAAATACTGTCTGTTAGCAGCCTCTAACAAGGACAATGGCACTAAGAAAGAAACATTTCCCCGGGGAGAATCAAGTAATGATATAGTTGAACTATGTTTGATTTTAACACCAATAATCTGAGAGATATTCTTTTGTTGCTACATCACCCATTTACATGACTAATGTTGTAACACTCGTTAAATTTGCTTATAAGTTATATAACCAGACGGAAAATAAAAATTTGCTTATGGAGTTCAATAATGCGGTAGACAAAACAAGATGTAGCTTCATGAAACGAGAAATTTGCTCGTGGGTCCAATGGAGAACTCATATGAGTGAAAACTGAAAAGCTAACTGTGCCGCATGCGATTAGGCAAGTGGCTCTATTATTTGCCTTGTACTAGTCAACAAATTCGAATCTATTATGGTTGTGCGCCTTGCAGGCCAATGGTAAGAGCCCACTTCACTTGGACGTCGATATTCTATGGTAATCTACAATAAAAAAAGAAAAAAAATTTACACTCAGAAGCGGAGTGTGTTGAAAAATAAGATCTTAATTATCAGAACAATCAAATACTTGTTAACATTTTCATTTCTAGTAGCTTATTTATTTCCTCATATAAATCAATATGTAATCAACAATATCTTATTTGATTTTGGTTGAGGTACGGATTAAACTTGAAACGTATTTCAACATTCTGGAAGAGATGCGACTAGACCAATCTCTCTAGTTGGTAATGTAACTCATCCTAAAGTGATTATTGTTCAAGAAAAAGTAAATTCTCACTAATAATTCATCATTCCAATCTCACTAAGTTGCGGAATTATTGCTCTCAGTTTGTAAAAGTACTAAAACAAAAAAGAATGTTACAAAACATATCAATTTAAATGGGAAACTGAGAACCTAAAAACTTTGAAGGATCATGACTAAGCAAGCATGGCAACAATATGTCTATTGAAGCTAGTTAAGAACTGTGGTGTAAAAACTTGAGGAAAGATTTTTGCATAGAAGTTTAGTGGAAAAGTGATACATATTGGCCAGCCATTGGTTTCAAGTGAAAAACCAAGCAATCCAACAAACCTCGAATGTACTAACGTAGTTAGACAAACACCTCGAGCTATCGAGCACATATGGTACTTAGGTACAATGGTTACACTTCTCATGAGTCCTTAGTAACATACGTAAGTGTGCGAGCACATATCTATCTATATATCTAAGTAGATATGTTACTCTAATTCAGTAATAGCTTCTAACTGAATGTTTAGATTTCTTGCAGGTGTGGTTGCATTTGTTCGTGTAGGACCTGTAGATGCAAAAGGATTGGGAGGCATGGTTAAGTTTTCTCCTCCTTCCAGCATTTGAACAACTTCTTTCATGGAAGGACGACCCGCTGGGTGCCACTGGATGCACCACAGCCCTACAATTGCGAGTTTCTTTGGTGTTTTACCATCTCCTTCCTCCCCAAGATGGATCCGTAGTTCTTCTCCTTTTTCTAGAAGATTATAGATCCATTCTGGATAGTAAATTTCAGTTGGGATTGCTGAGGTTGAATCAATATTCTTCCTTCCACCTACCATCTCAAGCAGCAGCATTCCAAAACTATAGACGTCCGACTTATAGGACACATTTCCAAAGCTCCTGGAGAACACTTCAGGTGCAATGTAGCCCATATTCCCTCTAGCTGTAGTCATGGACACTATGCTTTGATCTTTGGAACACAACTTGGCCAAACCAAAATCAGAAATTTTTGGAGTGAAATTGTCGTCTAATAAAACATTATGAGGCTTGATGTCGAAATGGAGGATTCGTTGATCACATTCCTGATGAAGATAATAAATTCCCTTGGCTATAGCAAGAGCAATATCTTGCAACTTGTCCCAACCAAGAAAACGATTGTTATTGTCTGCCGATGAAATGAAATCGTGCAGTGAACCATTGGCGAAGAACTCATAAACGAGAGCTCTGTTAAACCCATCAGCACAGAAACCAACCAAACGAACCACGTTGACATGGTGGATACTTCCCATCATTCCAACTTCCTTTATGAAATCTTCCCCATTTCCGTTGGAACTATTGAGAACTTTTACAGCAACAAAGCATTCAGAAGAAAGTTTTCCTTTGAAAACAGTTCCATAGGCTCCTTGGCCTAACTTGTCCTGGAATTGGTTTGTGATCCTCTTAATATCTGCATAGGAATACCTGCTTGGTTTGTGAGCGTTGTAATCTTCTAAAAACTTTTCAATCTTCAATTGACTCTCCTTTTCTTTTCGATTAGACCTATAGACACGATAGGCTGCAACGGCCAGTAGTAATACCACAAATGATCCCAGTGTTGTACCTGAATCAAACAAATCCTTGAGTAAATAATAATATTCCCGACGGTCTAGCTAGACATGAAATAAAATAAAAAACCGTCAGACTACTCACCTACGGCTGCAAATTTCCTTGTTACACCTGAAAAAAGCATTGACAAATTTAGTAATAGTGATGATCTACTGCTCGGACAAATTTAGTAATAGAAGAAAACAAATTACTCTTTGCCTAGTCATTTGAAATTCATATCAAATGCGTTGCATCTAGTTATTTGAAATATGTTCAGTCGGATGCTTGGTAGATAAGTAAGCAGCAAGTGCAATAATATAGCAGAATATATGTAAAATAAAACCAAGATTGAAAATATAGGCAGACTCACTAGGTTTGCTCAAGCTAACACATTGAATTTCAGTGTTGGTGTGATTGTACTTGATTCTACACTTGTTGCCCTCTGCCTCACACTCTGTACAATTTGGTTTCTTCCATTTCAAATTAGTACCCTCAAGACCATAATAGTGGATCTGTGGAATCGACAAAACATCGTACATCTTTGTACACGACTCTAGTGGCGGATAGGCCACAGTGGTGTGGGAAGATTTAATGGCATAAACTCTGTAGCCAGGGCCACTAATGCAGGGGACTTCAGTGCTGTATAACTCTCTTTCAGCAAGGCAGTGGACTAAGGTAGCGTTGGAAGACAGAGATTCTTGGAAGTAGAATTGAGAGGCTGGCAATGAGATGTTGATGTTATCAACTTCTAAAGGCTTTAACAGCAGGCAATTACGCGGTTGATAGACTTGGACTTCCTGACGCTTGTAATCTATGCGTTTCACCAAGAATTTCACCACTACCACTCGGTGCTCCTGTCCGTAGTCACCCTCATTCGCATGGCAATCAGATGTCGGACTACAGTGATGTCCACAGCGAAACAGAATATGGATGGCCTCGCCATCATCCCCGCATTTGGATTTTTCACAAGCATAGGCATTCTGGGTTGCTCCGAGCAATGTTAACAAAGTCATTGAGAATATGCGAACCCAAGAGAGATTGAGCTGTAGCTGCTGCATTTCTGAGGTATGTTTTTTTCCAAGCAGAAGAACAAATAAATGTTAATAGTTTAACACAAAAGACCGTGTAGAGTACTTGACCATAAAAATGCAATTGATCTACGGGTTTACCCCAAAGACCACGTCACGGAAGCCTAGAAAGTATTTACTGTTTTGGTCAATACTTAATTCCACAGCGGAAAGAGAGAGTCATTCCCCTTTACCTTTACATGTGTAAAATCTTTTCTTGTGCTTATATATAAATTATTTGTATTGTTACGCACTTTCTGTGTCAAACCTCGCTGATATTTTTCTCCATGGGGATGAGTGGAAGGTCCTCCTCCTCCTCCTCCTCCTCCTTGTCTATGCGGTTTTTAATTGCAGCTTTTATTGTTTTTAGCTTATCCCCTCAAACCATTTGTAACGCCGCCCGGCAAAAGTGTGCGCCTTCTTCCTGCGGCCATATCCGCAATATAAGCTACCCTTTTCGACTAAAGGGTGATCCGCGCCACTGCGGCGACTCAGGATACACTCTGTCTTGTGAGAACAACAAAACCATACTAAACATATCTTCATCTGGCGATTACTACGTACAGGCAATCAACTACCATAACCAAACAATCCGATTTGTCGATCCAGGCCTTGACAAGAGCAATTGCTCCTCCCTTCCTCTTCATTCTCTGTATCTTCCTTATATGTATAATCGGTATCTTCGTTATTGGTATTTCAAAATTCCGACGACACCTGGGAATTGTACAGCATCATCAGCGACATGTACGGAAATTGGCACAACAAATTTAACATTTTTCAAGTGTCCGCGTCCAATGAATTCATCTCTTTACGTGGATGCTGCTCCATGTTTTCCTGTTCAATCTGCTTCTACTTCATCTTCGTCGATGTCGTCATCCCAACCAAAATCGTATGGCTATGTCAAGATTGGATATTTAGAGGTAGGGCAGATGAAGGACGGTTGCAGCATAGAGCGAACGACTTATGCCTACTTGTTCGACGGCTACAACGCTTCTTATAAATCCATACACAATTCTCTGGTTTATGGATTTGAGCTTCAATATGCCCCTCATGGTCCAATTCTCTGCGAAAACCAATGGCGGTGGTTTTACAAGTGTTATCCGCACAGCGTTCCAGGTGAGTAGGGAATTAATCTCAATTTTCTTTTTTACTTCATTATCTTCTGTTGTAGGAAATTCATTCCTATAAAATAAATAAAATTAAAATTAAAAGGGAGTTTTAACAAAAAGCCTATAATACTATTCACTTTAACGAAAAATCAAATTTTTACATCAAAAAGTCAATCATGGTACTATTCACTTTACCCTTTATTTTGTCCTTATCATTAAAAATCAAAGTTTTCAAACCTTTTTTATTAGTTTTCTTAAATTAAAATTGCAGGGCATAGTCATCATTTGTCTCTTTTTTTATCATCTTCAACTAAAAGAGCTAAATAAATAGCTTTGTAAAAAGTTATATTTAAATAAAAATGTTAGGCTAATTTCATATACTATCTTCAATTGAAGAGACTAAACATAGCCATTTAATAATTTATTAGTTTTAAACTTATATTTTAAATTTATTGGTTAATTTAAGTAAACTATTTTTGGATGTTTTTAAAATTACTCATTGAATTTGAATCAATTATTGTAACTAAGGAGTTGAGCACCAAAAAAGGTTAAGAAGAGGGCTACATTTGACTAGTATGTCATCTTTTAGCTTGTGGACCATTGGAGATGACGAAATATGTTAGACAAAGAAATAAAAAGTTTGAAAAAAAACAAGTGACCATTTACCACAGCGGTGGAAATGTATTATGCTCTTACATGATGACATGGGTTCGAATTCTGTCAGTGGCTAATCTAACATTTAACTTACTAACGTAAAAAAATAAAAAAATAAATAAAAGTTTGAAATTTTAATTTAAAATCAACGGGTGTGGACCCAAGTATTTTACATTTTTCCCTCTTTGCCAATGCAGGTTTTTTCCGATTTCTATGGGCACTGATTCCAGGTAAGAGATTTATATATGGGAGATTATATGACATTTAATTTATCCTCTATTTCGAGAGTTCTTATATTCCTTTTGAATTGGTTTGACCCTTTGGCTTACACCCCTTCATCAAGAGGTGCTACTTCCTAAAGAACGTGTTTTTTCAATTTGAATTGATATCCAAATATTCAAACATGTTGTGAACTCTAAGAACATTTATAAAGAAGATGTTAAATCCAAAACATCGAAGTATTTTAACAAAAAAAAATATAGTATTCAAGTGTTTGATATGTTGTAGACTGTAGTCATGTAAATATCTGAAAATAGTATAATATTAAATTATAAAATAATAATTTATTTTATTTATTATTTATAATCTCTCCTATTTTCACTCTCTCTCCTGTCCCTCATTTTCTCCGCCACTATTCCTCCCTCATCTCAATTCTCAACTTCACTGGATCCTCGAGAGCAACCCCGTCGTCAGTGGTCGCATGGCCACCGTCAACATCTCCACCCACACCTTCGAGGCCAGCGCCTCCATTCTCCACTCCAGGAACTTGCACGCTTTGAACTACACCAATCTCCTCAACCTCGTCGTCAAAAGCCCCTCCCTCTATTCTGCGCTTCAAATCAAAGCTTCCCTTTGCTGATGAGAGTGTTTTGGTTTCCAATTCACTCCTCATGCTCTTCAGATACGGCTTCTCCCTTGTCAGGATGGACAAGGTTGTTGAGGTATAAAAGTAAATAAATAAAAGGTTTGTTTTTTGGTTTTAACTTAGGGTTTTTTTGTTGAATTTGGTAAATTTCTTTGTGTGGTACAGGTAAGATTGTTTGGCATCTTATTAATTTATTGGGTGTTAATTTGGTGAAGTCCTTGCCTATGAGAATCATCAATCCTGCTACTGAAGAAATCATGGTCCTTTTCTCACCCTAAGCATTTCTGTCAATTAAATTAATTTCTGGGTTGTTTTCTAAATTTAATTACTGTTTAATCATCGCATTTGATCGTGTGTAGGATCTAGAAGGAGGAGAGGGATAGTCGTTGGTGCAGTCGTGGTGGTGGTGGTGGTGTTGAGCGGGAGTGGGATGGACGGCGGCGGTCCTAGGGGTCTGATGCGGGGCGAGGGAGTAGGAAAGAGATCCTTCCATTTTGTTGCAGGGACAAGGACTCATTTTGAAAAACTAACGAGGGTGTAGGAAAGTTTCATTAAACATGCACTGTCGCTCTGCATGTTTTGGAAAAGGGCTAGATTTTCAAAGCTATGTTTTGCTGCATGAGCTTTTAGTCTTTTTATTCACCCTCAATTTAAAAAAGCTGGTTTTAGAGTGTTTACCAAACACTAAAAAGACCCCAACTTTTTTTCATACATGCATTTTTTTTATAATTTCAGCTGTACCAAACTGGTACTAAGAGCCCCAGACTTTCTTTAATTACACTATATTTTTGTTACACCTTACAAGAGTGGTATTTAATCAATCACATAAACATGTACCTAACAAATAATATAGTGCATCCTCTATGGATATGAAAAACTGCAACAAATTTCAATGTTAATCCAGGTGTGCGTAGGAGCGATATGTTTGTAACTACCTCCAGGGTATATGTATGATGGCTTATCAGAAATTGGAAACCAAAATAGCTCCCATAATTTATTAGGGGCTATATCTATGATGGCTTAACAGAAATTTTTATCTATAATAATGCTTTGCACTTCGAAAGCTAGCTAGTTATTTCTCTTTGATTTTGTTAATATATCTTCTTGTATTTCTTGGGTATTTAATGTTCGTCACAATATTCACTTCGCAAAGTTCAAGCTCTAATCAAGTTTGATTTACTCTTCATTCTGTTCTAAATGCAGCTTTTGCACTCTTGGGACTCGTTTGTTACGGTAAGAGCTTTGCTGATATATATGATATCCAATATTGAGCATATACTTTGATCCAAGGCAACAAGTCAGTTTCGTTTCTCATGATGTTTTTTGTGATTTACTCCAATGTTCAGCACTATTTGTTGTGGCAAAATTTCTATTTGGGGCACCATTCGTGACTGTGTTTTTGATCTATACATGGAAAAGAAGGCATTTGTCAATGTACAACTCCATAGAAGAATTTTTGCATGGTGAAAAGAATTTTGTGCCAATAAGGTATTCGTACTCGAACATCAAGAAGATGTCTAACAAATTTAAAGAAAAACTTGGTGAAGGAGGGTATGGATCAGTATTCAAAGCAAGGTTACGGAGTGGACGTTTTGGGGCAATTAAGATGTTGGATAAGCCCAAAGGCAATGGACAAGATTTCATCAGCGAGGTAAATACTATTGGGAGGATTCACCATGTTAATGTGGTTCGGCTTGTTGGTTATTGTGTTGAGGGATCGAAGCATGCTTTGGTATATGATTTCATGCTCAACGGATCTCTTGATAAATACATTTATTGCAAAGAAGGAAGTATCCCATTAAGTTGCAAGACAACGTATGAGATTTCTCTTGGAGTGGCTCAAGGGATCAAATATCTACATGAAGATTGTGACATGCAAATATTACATTTTGACATCAAGCCTCACAACATTCTTCTTGATGAGAATTTCATACCGAAGATTTCTGACTTTGGGCTTGCAAAATTATATCCGGTGGATAATAGTATTGTGTCTCTAACAGCAGCAAGGGGTACAATGGGATATATGGCTCCTGAACTATTCTACAAGAATATTGGCGGTGTTTCATTTAAAGCCGATGTTTATAGTTTTGGAATGTTGTTGATGGAAATGGCAAGCAGAAGGAAGAATTTGAATGCATTGGCAGAGCATTCAAGTCAACTTTACTTCCCTTCGTGGGTTTACAATCAATATAATGAAGGAAAGGACTTCGAGGTGGGAGAAATTGTAGAGGAGGAAAAACCATTAACAAAAAAAATGATTATAACCGCCTTGTGGTGTATACAATTGAAGCCAAGCGATCGACCTTCAATGAAGGAAGTCCTACAGATGCTCGAAGGAGATGTTGAATTCCTTCGAATGCCTCCGGAGCCTCTTCTATATCCACAAGAGATGCCCGTAGTTGCTCCTAATGGTAATCTGAATCCAACATATTCTAAGGCGGAGTTAACATCTTCTTTGACGGGTAGGTGAAGACACGCAACTAGCATAGGCTCTGTCAGTTTGAATCTCAATGCAATGTTTCTGGTTTTGTAGTAGTACTGTTTGCTTGTACGTTGAACGTGATGTTAAATATGTTTAGTACGGCATATTTTCATGATTCCAGGGATAAATAATAGCATGTTTGGTACTTTACTTGAATCTAACTTTTTTAAATCAAAAACAATTTTCAAGTTTTAGGTTTTAAAAACTTGTTTGGTTGGACTATTTTAAAAAATTGAACTCAAGATTGATTCAAATATATAGATCTAAAAACATAAAAAGGGAGTTTTAGAATTTTTAAATTTAAATTCATTCATTTTTTTTCTCTTCCTCCTTCCCTTTCACTCCAAATCTCTCTTTTCTTCTTTCACTTTTTTTTTTTTTTTTTTCGTTTCTTCTTCAATCTGTTTTCTTCTTGTTTTAGGTTCTGTCTCACTCATTTTCCTCTCTATCTACTCTGATCCTCTCTTCTTTCTCTTTCCTTCAATCATCTTTTACTTTGTTTCCTTATCTCTCCTTTTTCTCCCTCTTCTACGATCTCCTCTTTTTAGATCTCTTTATCTAGTTTAAGTTGTAAGATTTAAAATTTTTAAATCGCAAACCAATCAAATGTTTTAATCTTAAAAAAAAATATTTTTAAGAAATGTTCTTAAGAAATGTTTTGATAAATGATAAAAAAAATTTCAAATAAGATACCCAACATGCCCTAACATATTCATGAAGGACACCGTTGTATGATTCATGAAGACGATATTTTCTAATTTTTGTTCCAAGAAATTATTGGTTGTGATGATTGTTCGCTCGTGCTGGTAATTCTGGTTCTCATGGGCTCATGCCGGCTGCACTTACATAGCTCCGGTTGTTATTTGTTAGTGGAGGGAGGGACCTCCTTGGTCAATATTCGAAACCCTTTTCTTTTTTATTTTTGTTTCTGTGAGTACAATGATATATTTACACTAAGTGAGGGAGGTTAGTTTAGGCTACATAATGGACAATCTAATTTGATATTGAATTTTCCATTTACGAGATTCGAACCTAAGATCTTTTACTTACAAGTAAAAAATAATATTATTAGACTATAGTACAGAATGGCAATATTCGAAACCTTTTAGTTTGCCAAGTCATTTCTTGGTCAAAAGATTTTGCAGAAAGTTGAGGTTTTACCACAAAACTAATTGGCAATATGAGACTAGCTTAATTACTTAAGCACATGTAAAGTCCCTTTTTCCCCGACGTGGAATGCAGTCTCAAAAAAAATTTCTGTCTGAGAATCCTTCCTTTAGTATTTGAAATGCTGCCTGCTTTGTACTGCGCAACCAGTTTATAGCTTTGGTGGAGGACTCAGCCTCCTCGTTATAATTTCCTAAGAATCTTGAACGTAATGTTTATCACTAGCTGGAGCATCATTGTAATTGTAAGCCAAAGGGAAGATTTGTTGATCACGTCCTTGGTGAAGATATTCAATTCCTTTGGCAAATAGCTAGATCTTGCAGCTTATCCCAACCAAGAAATTTGTTGTTATTGTCTGCTGATGAAATGAAATCATGTAGTGATCTAATGAACAAAAGCTCGTCTAAATCCATCAACGCAGAAGCCAACCAAGGGAATAGCATGGTTGATGTGACCCATTGTTCCCACTTTATTTATGAACTCTTACCGATCTCCCCTTCCAATTGTATAACTTCATATGGTTTACCACATCGTTTTCCGAACACACTAAAATATCTCTCTTTCCTTAGAACTATTGAGGACCAGCAGAAGATAGCTTTCCTTTAAGGTAAGAGATCCTCTTCAGATCATTTCCACGAAATTTACCCTATCAATCAATCCGAACCCTTGAAATTTTGACCAAACGGCTAAAATTATTGTAATTTTTAAAGATGCCCCCTGTTTTTAACCGTTGGATCAAATTTCAAAGATCCGGATTGATTGATAGGGTAGAGTTGGTAAAAGGGATCCGGAGATGATCTCTTTCCTCTCTTTAAAAACAGTTCCTAGGCCTAACTTGTCTATGAACTGATTTGTAATCCTCTTAATAACTTGTCTATGAACAACTGTTAGGAAGTGTTGTTAATTCCTCTATGCAACAGAGTAGTCTGTGGAGTTCTCAAGAAATGCCATCAGTGGACCTGTATGCTTTGTTCAGACAGCACTCAACAGACCTGAATAATAGTTCTGAAATAAGGCCAAGCACTGGACATCATTGTTCCAACTATAGTAATCAGCGTGAGGGGAACCTAACCTTCCCATTAGAAAACACGTCAGTCAGAGAGCCCGGAAAACATACTGAACCACTTATGGGAACTAAGAGTGGTAGCATAAAGCATGTCAGTGAGCTCAGCAAAAATTCTATCAACGACGCTGATGGTAAGCATATACTCATGGAAAATCAATCAGTTGATTCAAAGTTACAGGAGCAACTATTTTCTCATGGTCAGTCACATAATGAGACAAGTACACATACTTCAAAAAGAAGAAAAGGAAAGGCAGACAGCGGGAAAAAGAATGCAGTTGACTGGGACATCTTGAGAAAGCAGGTGCAGGTCAATGGTAGGAAAAAGGAAAGAAATAAAGACAGAATGGACTCACTGGATTATGAAGCACCCAAAAATGCTAATGTCAAAGAAATTTCTGAGGCAATCAAGGAACGAGGGATGAACATCATGCTAGCAGAACGGATCCAGGTACTCTACTATTAGTATTCAGTCCAAGTTCATTGGACCGTTAATTTTCTCCAGATAACATCACTTGATAGGTTAAGACTATCCCTCGTGATAACACTAGTTGCACAATGTTTGTAGGAATTCCTAAACCGACTGGTTAAAGAACATGGAAGCATCGATCTGGAATGGTTAAGAGATGTTCCTCCTGATGAAGCAAAGTAAGTCATTCCACAATTCATTATCTTGTAGAACGTTACAGCTACCCCCTTTATGCCATTAACAAGGCCATTATTCATCAGGTTTGGTATACAGTTATCACTAATGATTTTCCTGCAGGGATTATCTATTAAGCATACGAGGCTTGGGCTTGAAAAGTGTGGAGTGTGTCCGGCTTTTAACACTTCACCACCTTGCTTTCCCGGTAACAATTATGCGACTACTAAATACTAATTATGTTACAAGAGCCTGGGGACATCTTAAAATCAATGAAATTATATATGTTCTTTGCTCCATATAGGTTGACACTAATTTTGGAAGGATAGCAGTAAGACTGGGATGGGTCCCCCTCCAACCATTACCTGAATCACTCCAGTGACACCTCCTAGAAATGTAAGAAATGATAGTTTGGTAAATGAATGCTTACTTTTCCACTACTGGAAAATGCTAACCGTATTCCCTCTAGGTACCCAATGCTGGAATCAATTCAAAAGTATCTATGGCCAAGATTATGCAAAATTGATCAACGAACCCTGTAAGCTCATAGCTTCATAAACTTTTCATATAAATTTGAGAGCACTACTTTCAAGTGCAAAAGTTCATGTAATTTTATTTATATTTGTCGACTTATGCTTTTACTGATTAATTGACTATTGAACCATAGTTATGAGCTGCATTACCAGATGATTAAATTTGGAAAGGTTTACATCGACATTACAAAACTATATGCAAGAGAAGATGGAGCTTCAAGAAGGTGACATGTCCAAGTCTTTAGTTTCCTTGACTTCGGAAGCTGCTTCTATCCCTACACCCAAGCTAAAGAATGTCAGTCGACTACGAACAGAGCACCAAGTGTAAGTACATTTCATCCCATAGTCACAAACCCACATATTCCTTGCAAAACACTGAACACAAACTGAAATATAGTAGGGCCAAAGTCCACAGCATGTTCAATCTAGGAAAACAAATTTAGCGTCGAAATTTTGAATTCGCCACCGTCAGAATTCTTGCAGGAATTTTAACAACTCTCTGCCTGGAGCCATACGTTCTGAGTTTTGGCACACATACCTATACAAGCATGTGTATACAGGCATAACTGTAAATCCTCTGACACCCTTATACATTCTGTGCTGGTATAATGCAGGTATGAACTACCAGATTCACATCCACTCTTAAAAGGGGTAGGTTAAAATTATATATATTATATCTACAATACATGAAGCGTTCTAATTCTCAATTAATCACCATTCAACTTTACAGATGGACAGACGGGAACCAGATGATCCAAGCCCTTACCTTCTTGCTATATGGACACCAGGTAAGCTCCAGACATAAAAGAACTGAGATACATTGTTAAGGATCTTGAGATCAATTCAAATTTAATGCATTTGATTCAGTAAGCCAAGTTAGAACTTGGGATACAGATGCATGGATGGCCTAGCACTAGCTAAATTTGACATCAGATGAATGAAGTCGAAATATTGTACATCTTACTAAGTGATACATTTATTTTACTTATATCAGGTGAGACTGCAAATTCAATTCAACCACCAGAAAGCAGGTGTGGCTCCCAAGACCAACACAAATTGTGCAATGAGAAGACATGTTTTTCATGTAATAGTATAAGAGAAGAAAATTCACAAACAGTCAGAGGGACGATTTTGGTGAGAAAAATTGATTCTTGTAATAAGTCAAAGACAATAAACTACATGCATTTGTTTACTGAAATTTAATTCAACTTGTTGCAGATACCTTGTAGAACAGCAATGAGAGGGAGCTTTCCACTCAACGGCACATATTTTCAAGTTAATGAGGTAAGTCTTATTGAAACTAATCTCCTTGAAGTTTATCTACAGAGCACAGTCTGGACAAAATTAAAAGTGGTCCAGAATCCTGTACTCCACTTCTGTAAGCCAGAATGTTAAAGCCATTACTTCCAGATTTATAAACAAAGTTCTATCATGATGCAGATGTTCGCGGATCATGAGTCTAGTCACAACCCAATAGATGTTCCAAGGGGGTGGATATGGAATTTGCCAAGACGGACCGTATACTTTGGAACTTCTGTATCGACAATATTCAGAGGTAAGTGATATGAAGATACCAGCGTTGCGATTTTCACATCCCATTTAGAGATGTATACTTATTACTTACAACGAAAATAATTATGTCCACCAGGTCTATCAACAGAGGGAATTCAATACTGCTTTTGGAGAGGTATGTGATACTAACTTCAGTTCTTCATAATACTTTGCGATAACTATCATGAGTTATCTTCTCAGGACTAGTTATATAACAAAGGTATACTTACCATGGTTTAAGAAAAAGAAAATGTAAATGATAAACTTTGAACTAATTTGTAATTTTTGATGCAAAAGACAAATCATTGATAGTGCAATTATATGTAATTAGCCAGAGGGTAATTAAGATATTTGACTGATGATTTCTCGAGTCCTGAGTGTCTTCAAAAGAAGGGGAAATAAGAGGGAGAGAAATCTGACGAAATTTTGGTGCGACTGTTGAAAACATTGTATTAAAAACCAGTGTATGTAATTTAGCAGTACAAAGTGACAAACAAGTTTACTTATTGACTGATTGATTTATATGCAGGATATGTGTGTGTGAGAGGATTTGAAAGAAAAACAAGAGCACCACGACCCTTAATGCCCAGATTGCATTTTCCTGCAAGTAAGTTGACCAGGACAAAAAATGAAGGGAAGAAACAGCATTGATCATGGTGCAAAGAAGATTTTCATCACACGACTGACTGTGAGAAGAACAATGACTAACAAATTCTATTGCATTCAATTATTTTTCCTCTAGATGAGCATTGACTATATGACAGGCAGGCAGCTGATAGCAAAGTATCATGCACAATATGTGAGATCTCATGATCAGTTGATTGTAGCCTGTATGTACATTAGTATTTTTCAATAAATGCCCAAAAAAAAGCAATCCTTCCGAAAAATGTCGCATTGTCACTATCCAAAAGAAGAAGATTTCTTCGGCAGTCAATAAACAAAAAGAAAAATTACATGTATGGATGCATGAATACAGAATATACATTAGATGAAGTGATACACAGCGAAGAAGGCAAAAGACTAAGGTAAACGAATCATCACAAGTATAGCCGGCCTATACTTAAACAAGAATGCCGTGTCATCCAGCGGAGCCTAAAAGAAGGTGACATGGGCAGACAGCTGACTCCTTTTCAATAGAAAGGAATAGCCAAACCAACCCAGCTGGTAGGTCAATCTCAAAAATCTTAACGGCCAGCAAACCGGAGACGCACTGCAGAATTCAGAAACATATTTTAATCCCTAATGCCAGTCATTTCCACATTCTTCTTCTTCTTATAAGCCTTTTTCCACTATGTGGGGTCGGTTGTAGGGGGATGCAACATGAGGACTTCCCAGGAGGTCACCCATTCTAGTACTACTCTCACCCAAAACTCGCTTAACTTCGGAGTTCAGATGGGATCCGGTGTAACATCCCACATCGCCTAGGGTAGTGATCCTTATATGTATGTTCTCATCCCTACCACTAGTACAAAAAATACTTTGGGTGACGTAGGTCCTTCGTTGCGCAAACCCAAAAAAACGTCGCGCAAAAATTTGCGTGACGAACCTTCGTCGCGCGACAAGCGTCGCACCAAGCCTGTGAAAGAAGGTTTTGCGCGACGAAGAAGTTACATGCATCACGCAAAGTGTCTTTGCGTGACGTAGTACCATGCGTCACGCAAAGTGGGTTGGCGTGACCAATGTCTGCATCACGCAAAGTGGATTGGCGTGACCTAGGTGTGCGTCACGCAAAGTGGGTTTGCGTGACGTATGTGTGCGTCACTGAAAGTGGGTTGGCGTGACGTAGGATTCGTGTCACTCAGAGTGGGTTGCGAGAGAGTGAGAGTGCGATTTTGCGGTTATGCGACGGCGGGAGAGAGGGCGAGGGTTGTTGCATTCGTGTCACTCAGAGTGGGTTGCGAGAGAGTGAGAGTTCTGCGTTCTAGGGTTTGAGAGTTGGTTTCAAGAAAGTGAGGGGGCCGAAGTGGGGGAAAGACTTTGCGTGACGTATGTGGCGTCGCGCAAAACAGCTTTGCGCGACGCATGTGCACATACGTCGCGCAAAGCTGTTTTGCGCGACGCCACTTACGTCACGAAAAGATGTTTTGCGCGACATAAGTGCACGTGCGTCACGCAAAGTCAACAGAAAAAGCGTTAAAACTTACTTTCTTTAGCGCCAAAATCTTGCGGGACACACAAAACGTCGCACAAATGGCCTTTGCACGACGTTTTGTGTTTAACGTCACGCAAACATACTTTGCGCGACGCATTTAGCTGCGTCGCGCAAGTTTTCGTCGCGCAAACATGTTTTTGTACTAGTGTACCTAGCACGAACCTTTTAGGGAGCTCACTGGCTTCGGGTTCTATCAGAACTCCGAAGTTAAGCGAGTAGCGCGAGAGAGCACTCCCATGATGGGTGACCCACTAGGAAGTTCTTGTGTGAATTCCCATGGGAAGTTCTTGTGGAGCGAGCCCAGGATGTGGTGGACCTCGGGCCGCAATGTGACAATTTGGTATCAGAGCCTAGCCCTGGCCGTTCCCTACTTAGCATGAGGCCTTTTTGGAGCTCGCTAACTTTGTGTTCCATCGGAACTCCGAAGTTAAGCGCGTAGCGCTCGAGAGCACTCCCATGATGGGTGACTCACTGAGAAGTTCTTGTCTGAGTTCCCAGAAACAAAACCGTGAGGGTGTGGTCGGGACCCAAAGCGGACAATATCGTGCTACGGTGGTGAATGTGGTGGACCCTGGGCCGGGATGTGACATCCGGTGCATGTGAGTTGGTATGATCGCATCTCAAGGATTCAACGTAAGATAGGAGTGCCTGTCGACTACCTGACACCCTCCTCGTCCTCGTCCTCCTTTATCCGGACTTGGGACCGACAATGTAAGATAAACTTACACAAACAGAGTTCCAGACATTTCCACATTGCAGAAGAAAAATTTTAGACAACATTTCTCAAATTATGTCCGGGGGAAAAGTCTATCTAAGGATCATTAGTTTTTCATCCGAGGCAATAACACACGCAAGCGTACTCTCAATTGAAATATTCAAAATGCTAGCAATCTTTTGCTTGTATTTTAAAAACTAGATGTCTGAGGTCGTCAAGGGTGTGAACAAAGTTACAGGTCATATTCAAATCATACAGAAACTCGACTGTTAAAAAGGTCTGAAAACATTTAGAACAATTTCTACACAAAAGAAATATGATAAAAGAATTTAATCAAATATTACACTGCTCAAGAAGGCTTCGATTCATTTAACAACCAACGTTTTAAATGAAGTTAGCTGCAACTGCACTAATATTTCGAAGATAGGCAGCTACAACGTTGTAAATGACATTTACCTGCAATTGTATAAGGATGATGATGAAGAAATCCTCTCAAGCTTCTATTACTACATTCTTTTAAAGCTAATATACCTCATATAAAAACCTGCCTCTAAGACATTAATTCAAGGGAATTGTTATTGACATTTCAAAAATTTTATTTTACGCTCTAAACTTTTTACACTCCTCATAAGTGTATTTTTCTTTCCAAATATAGAGAACTTGAAATGTACTACGAGAATTTTGAAATGTCAATAACACTTTTCTAATTTAAAATAAATTCAGTTTATACTAAAACCGAAAACACGCTAAAACACTGTTCATAAGCACATTGTTGTTCCGGTTTTACCGCCACTTGGTCTCTTCTATTTCATTTATGCCACTGATCCCTTTTGACATCTGTGGTTCTCTTCGTTTCTGCTCTGCCGCAATTAAATTTACTCTCATCCCTAGAATCCAAAACTCCCTCATACGTCGCTCCTCTCCATGCCCGTCCCTTGCTTTTCATCCTGGCCTCTACTGCAATCACGCCGCTTTCCCTGCTTCCGACATCGTCCTGTTTATTGGGTAAGCTCTGAAACCTTTGTAGAACTCATGCATGTTGTGTTGATTTCAAATTTTCACTATCAATCACTCTCAAAATTCCACAAAACAACATTTTCTGTTCACATATATGAGTAATTAATTTGATTAGGTTTCTGGTCAGAGTTGCATTTATATTCTGCATTTTCTTGAAGAATTTAGTGTCTAATTTGAAAAATTCAGGAAGAATATTTGATTTTGTGCAGAACCCATCTACTAAAATGTCTAGATTTCTTAATGGACTTAAGGAAAAAGATGGTAACTTGGTTTATCCATCCCTCCAAATTTGAGATTATGTATTGTATTGAGATTTTTAGTGTCCAATCTAAAAAACCCAGCAAAAATCTTTGCTTTTTGGTAAAATTTGGTGGTTCGCTGGAAAAGAATCAAGGGTGCTAGAAAAAGATTGGTGGTGAGGTTATAAGAATATACATATTGTTAAACGTGTAAAAAAAATTCATATTATGTTTGGAATTTTGAGCAATTGGTTGTGTTCAATTACTATATGAAATTCAGAAATGCAATTCGGAATTTCAATTGAGGTCGGGATCTGATTGTAGAATTTGGGTCATGTTTGGTTGTGCTGAATCGGGTTTGATGGAGAATTTTTAATCATGATCAGAATCATGGGTTTTGTTTAAAAATGAAATTGGATTCAATTATATAATACTTTTAGAGAATGAAAATCTTATATAATGTTTTTAGAGAATGAAAACGAGAAAGTGGTGATGGACACAAAATAGTTGCCGATCAATTATGCTTCAACCTTGGAATGTGGGGTACAAACATTATGAAAGTGTCATAAGAGAAGCACCAAAAACCAAACTCAAGTTCCGGTGACTTTAAAGACAAGAAAGGCTCGAGCTTTGGGGAGACATATTACGTTTCTCTGATAGTTGTTGAGATGGGTGTGAGACTTAAGCATCCCATTCTATGAATGCACCACAGTTCATGCCTTTTGGTGCAGCTTTTCTCCTTAAACACAATACCACCTGCAATGGCAGATTAGCCTTCAAGTCTCTAATTAGTGTGCAGTTATAGAGTTTTGTTTAAAAAGATGCATGTATTTTTCACCCATATTTTCCAGGACAAGGGAGAAAAGAATCAAAGAAATGGGTTTATGTGAGTGTTTGATTATCCCATTTCATGTAACATCACGTGGAGAGTGTGACACTGATTGTGGTTTGTGAACACTACTGTCAAAAGAAGAGATAAGGTTAAAAGATGTGTTTTTGCTCACCAAATTGCTGGTTTTTGTAGAGACAGCTTCTGTTATTATTCAGCAGATCTTTGCTTCTTCTCAAGTGATTTTTGCTTCTTCTTTTGATAATTAGTGAGTCGGCTATGTTAGAGGGATATAATCATCACTCATAGTATAGTGTTGTTTTTGGTAATTAATTCTGCAATAGTCTATAATGACATTCGTAGTTGAATTGCATGTATGAAAATTTGGCCTTTTGTATGGAATTTGAATTGTGTGATTGAAAATTTATTGTATTTTTTCCAATTTCCAGCATTGAATTCACAAAAAGAGGTAGTTGTCATCGTTCAAATTCAATTTCAAATAGTATTTCTGAGCCCATTGTTTCGTCGTGATCAGGTAAGGCTCAAGAAAATAGTAATATCAGTTTTTAAATAAACCCTTTTGTTGAATTTGAATATCTGCATGTTCGATTTTGGTATTGTAGAAATAGAATTTTTAATTTTAGTCTTGAGTAGGACTTTGATTGATTGTGCATTATGGGAGGAAATGTAGATTGAAAGTGTCTGCTTACCGTATAAAAACCACATTAACTTTTTAACATTTGAAGTACAATACTTTAGGGAAACACCATATTCATGAGAATGGCAATAAATTAAAACATGCAAGTCTATCAATACCAGCAGACTTTATTGATCATATGGTTAGGGAATACTTACTAGAACTACAACAAAGCTGGCAGCTTTACTTTCTTTATCAGTCACTAGAAGAATAGTGGAAGTGGATGAATTTACGAGGGCTGGCTTCCTAATCTGTATGACTACCATGTTCACCGTTACTATTCAGGTTCGTCCAAAACTTGCTCGAAGAGCTGACTGTCAGTGATTTGAGCTGGTTGTAAATAGTATCATCTCTTTGTAAATAACACTTTAAAATCATCTTTCTTAGTGTAAACATGTTATATGTAAACTAATATCACCCTAAACGGTCTTAAAACCAATGGCATCACGCAAGGGCTCAATTGCTAGTGTAATCTAAATGTAGTCCACAACATCTACTTCATACAATGCTACTATGGACTGAAACTACATAAATCGACCCCACAAAATAGAATATCGCACTTACACACAGATCAACAATATGTAACCCACATAAACAACGACGCCAGATTGAGAGTATTTGTATTAGAGGTTCAATTTCCACATTGCGTGAATTTAAAGGATAATTGTCGATAAAGTCAATTAAAATCCCGTCAACAAACTTTCTATGATAAAGATCTGCTTTGAAAGGTTTCCTAAATTTGATCCACGAAAGGCATGTGTCTGTTGACCGGATCTTTACTATTCTCAGGTGCGGTTGTCATTTCCTGTGGTTCATTACTCGCTTCGGGAGTGGAGGCGTTAGGCAATGGATTATCTGCTCTTGGAATAACGGATGCTTCGGTAGGTGGTTTGTCTCCACCAACGGGGTTAATGTTAGCATTAACCGAGCTTTCTTCGGCATACATGCTTGCAGTAAGTGATCTGGTCGAGCAAAATAAGAGTTTACTCTCAATGAAAGAATCAATTCTTGGAATCAAATTGGCAATTATAGACTTCTTTGCTATAAAACATCGCTCATCTTCATCTTGGTCCAATCAGCATTAGACATACTTGCTGGCTTACTCTTAACACCTTCAGTAAAGCATGTCCTCGATTCTTTATTTCCATGTAACCCAATTAAAGCGGGTTGCACCCTCCGTTCTAAATGGATATCAGCCAAATCAATTTCCCATTTAAGAATGGGAAAAAAAACTCTAGAAATTGAAAACAAAATAAATTAAGATAAATCACACCAATAATTAACGTGATTCACTTATATGTACCTATGTTCACGGGGCAGCAATAATAATTTTTCACCATATCACTAATGAGTGCAACAAATAATAATCTTTCACTATATCAATAAATACACTCTTTATCTCTTTTATTTTCTCTCTCACACATTTTGCCTTTTTCTCACTCTAACTCCTAGAGTGGTATACAACTTATTGTTTTGATCCAATTCAAAACTAGTACAATAGCCCCTTTATATAGACATAATTAAGGTCTTCTTCAATAAATCCTAATTGGAATCCGGTTATGAATCATTCTTCAATTGGGTAAACAAACTCCAATTGGGTAAACAAACTTCAATTGGGTAAACAATTTAAATTGGAAAAGCAACTCCAATTGGGTAATCGACTCTAATTGAGAAAACCACTCCAATTGAGAAATAACTTCAATGGAAAAAAAACAACTTAATCTTCTAAGATTCTATTCCTAATAGCCTTAGGACAACTTATCATGGGCTGGAAAAAACCCAACATACTTGAGTGAAAAGGAGCTAAAGGAATACTTTACATAATATGACGTTCTAGGATTTATATAACTCATCTCACTTATTGAAATAAAGCTTTCTTATTGTATATACTTGAATGATGAATTTTGTACTATAGCTTTACATGAATATGATTAATTGATCCACCAACCATATTTATTTTGAATACAAAAATCAAGAAATTGTTGGAACTTGTGAGGGACAATTGTCCCACATCGGCCATACATCTTCACAACATCATCTTTATAAGTGAGTCCACTCAGTTCTCATTTTAAGAGCAGCTCCAGCGTGTGCTGGAGCCCGAGGGACAGGTGAGTGAACAGGGCCAGAGAGCCCGAGCAATCAAGTCCAGCGTGTGCTGGCAAGGGAGCCCGAGCAGGCTTGAGCGAGAGGCCGGTGGAGAGTTGCCAGCCCGAGAGCCTGGAGTGGGTTTGATGCAAGGCTGACATCGCCTTGACATCAGCCACGTTTTTTCTTTTGTTTTGCCTCGGCGTCCGTTGGATCTCAAAACACAAACTTGTCAAAGTTTGCTTCGAGGACGTGACCAAAAACTGGGCAAGGTTTCAGAGAAATTGCAGGGGTTAAACCTTTGGTTTTGAACTGGAAAAAACCACAAATCTGTCCCAAGCAACATTAAGACATAATGAAACAAGATTTGCATAGAGAACCTCACCTGGGTTCGAGTTTCAGATCTTGAAGCTCTTGGCTTCAATGGTGGTTTACACCGTGATGATCTAATGATGCATGCAATGGTATAGCAAGGATCCTTTAGTCCCAGAGATTAAGGTTTCATGGTTTTGGAGTTTGATTTGTTTAATTTTCGAAGAGGAAATTAGGTGAGAGTTCTCGGAGCTCTAGAGAGAGAGAGAGAGAGAGAGAGGAACTTCAGAGAAAAATGGAGAGAAGTGAGAAAGATGAGTGGAAAGAGAGAGAGTGACATGAGGGAGTGGAGAGGTGCACGGGAAATTCCAAACAATTGCAAAAAATATTATTATTTTATTTACCTGTTGCCAAGGCTATTCAAGTGTAGGGGTGGAAATGCAAAAGGTAATGACTGTTCATTAAGGGCAATTAATGTTCACTAGGTGGATTAAATAGTGGATAGCCCGAGGAGGCCTTTCCCACGGTGGAACTGCTCTAAAAGAATTGGAACCAAGTCGTAGACTTTGGGCCTAGGAATTGGGTTGGATTTGGGTGTATGGGCTCAGATGGACAAATCACTCAAGTATGTATGGCTTTTAAGTTTATATTAATTTCAGGTTTTTCTGAAAAGGATAAGACTGTTTGCTGGAAACAGTTACAACCCTTTTGAAGGAAAGCCATTATAAATATGGTTGTAGGATTAGAAACTAATAAATCAATTCCAACATTCTTTTATTTTTCACAGAGAAACACAAATCAATTTGCAAAGAATTCAAGTTCGACTGTAAGAATTTGGGTTAGATAGTTGTGTCCTGCAAGACCAGGTTTTCCGAAAGGAAAAGACTGTTTACTGGAAATAGCTACATCCCTTTTGAAGGGAAGCCATTAGAATATGGTTGTAGGATTAGAAACTAATAATTCAATTCCAACTTTCTTTTATTTTTCACAGAGAAACACAAATTAATTCGAAAAGAATTCAAGTTCGAGTGTAAGAATTTGAGTTAGATAGTTGTATCCTATAAGATAGACGTCCAAAAACTACTGCACAGGTGTGAGAGGGTATTTTTATCTTAGGAGATTGCTTTTACAAACCTCTGTCTCTCTGGAAAACATGTCAATGATATTTGTTGTGATTTTATTTACAACTACATTTATTATTCATATTGTGATTTAAATATATAGTGATTTCTGTATACACTCTGTAATTATTTATATTTTATATAATCCGTATCTGATTGATTCTAACAGAAATGTGTGGGAGCAGTAAGGGTAGTGTAAGGGGCATATGTACATTCTTAAAGGACCTGTAGAGGCAAGGGATTGGTAGCCATGGTTAAGTTATCCTCCTTCCAAAGTTTTTATAGCAACTGATACGACAATTTTCATTCCTAACTGATATTGTATGAGTGTTAAGTATCCCAGATCCATGATAGATGCTAAGAGCAAAACTTGGGTGGGATGACATGCATGGTATCCAGCAAATAATTGATACGTGTATATAGTTTCTGGGTGAAAAATAGTGTGTTCAGAATTGAACCTCACAACGCATGTTATAGTTAAATAGATAAAACCACTAGACCTTTTCAACGATGGCAGTGCTCTAGTCGTTAGATCCTAGAATTTAAATGCTTAAACAAGGATTGGAAATGAGTTAGAATTAGGCTATGTCTAGCACTCCATTCCCTTCTAAGGTAATATAAAATAAATAATGATAAACAAGAATTGGAACCTAGAATTTAGATGCTTAAACAAGGACTGGAAACAAATCCCTTTAGTTTATGGTTCAATGATTACACGTTTGATGTTAATATTACATACATTTTACTCGAAGCCAAAAAGAACTAAAACTTCCGAGCTCCCTCGACCTAAACCCCCTCTCTCTTACTCCACAACCTCAATGTCGTTCTCCAAACTAACGTGACACATTAATTAACATACTCTGAAATAGTGAGTTGATTTTTTTCCACAATTGTTGAGATTTGATTAATTCAACTTTTACACCCCATCACAATCCTCATTCTCCGGGTGCTAAACAGGATTCCAAGGTGAAAATTTCATTATTCTAGTTGCAAACCATCAACTCTTGTTTCCCAAAAGACTTAAAATGATCATGTAGAATTGCATGAAATTATGAAACTGAACTTCCAGAAGAGCATAAATTTTAAAGCTGATCTTGCATAAGTAATTTTGAAATTGATTTTACAATAGTGTATGAATTGTGAAATTGATTTTGCGGAAGTGCATAAAACTTGAAACTAGTATTCCAGAAGCGCATGAATTATGAAACTGATCTTGTAAAAGTGTAAAAAGTTAGTTTTTATAATTTGAAGTTTTTATAGATGGTGTCAGTTTGTATTTTGGCTATCGTGGGCACTGTTGGAATTTTAAACTTTTGGTTCGTTTGTTTTTGGACTGAGTTCGTTGGAGTTTAGACTTTTGTCTCTGCTTGAAATGATTCAAAACTAACGAAGTTATGTGAAATGTATTTTGTATTGAGCTGTTGCTGCCGCATTGCAGAGGTATTGCCCATAGATTTCATGTACGCAATAGTAGGTAAATGTATATAGATAGTTTTTAATAAGTTCCGCTTCACGGAAGGTGCCTTTACAAAAAGGAACAACCAAAGACTAAATTATTTGCACATGAACTGCTCGGAAAGGAAGCTGAAGTGCAGCTTCATCGAAGGTGCTCTCTTGCAAAAACTATGAAAAACATATATAATACCTACAAGGCTGAATTTTCCAATTGGTCTTAATTTTCTAGCTATAATTCTGGAGTTTCTAGGTAGCTATGAATCTGTAATAAAGTTGTCGACAAGGTTCTCTCTTATCTTTATGTCTTTCTCAATGGCAATACAAGTGACAAACAATGACTTGGACTTGCCTAATTCCACCACCGAAAATAATTTTCTTTACAAGCAAACCGCGGGAAAAAACGTCATTCTTTCAGTTCTATAGTTATTTCTTCTTACCTGTTACTTGATATCTCTCACTAGTGTAAAAACTTTTCTCTTGTGTATTTTTTTTATGAGTCCCTTACATATAAATTTTTCGTAGTTACGTACGCATATCTACACATCCTTTTTTATTTCTCATATACTCTTCTAATTTTCGGCCGTCTATCGAATGAATTAAAGAATATCAAATGACAGAAAATAACAAAGGGTGTGTGAGAAGTAAAAAAGAATGTGTGGATCAGTGGATAACACACCTCCTCTTTTATTTTTCTTTTACTAATTTTTGTGCACGTGATTACAGGACCACAATAAGATTTTCAGACACGCTGAAGAAAAATGGGCCAAATTGCAATTGACTACGTACTAGAGCGGCTTCACGTACAATTCGGTCATCAATAATATTCATGTCATCTCGTCAAGAGAGAAATTTGCGTTCTCTAACAGTACTTCTAAATCTAATTTTCATATTATCCCTAAAACAATATTTTTCATTTTTCAAGTTTACCCTAAAATTTTGATTCAATTTCAAAAGTGCCCCAAGGAGTGTCCGCCAATCAAAGTCAATGACACACACGTAAGAGTGGCTACGAAGTGTTGTATTTGTTTTTGTATCTGATACGTGATACGCTAATGTATTGAAGTGTTTGCGCGTGCAACTTAGCACATAACTAAAGCAGTAGTAATAGTGCTTTCTTTGAAGCTGCTTTGCGTATCTCTCATCTGTTGCTGTAGAAATCATTATCGATTAGGTTAGCAGTGTCTGAGGCTAGAGAATTAAATGTAGAAATAGGGGAAGGGTTCCAAACCTTTTTTGGTCCAACAAAGAGGCGAAGTGGTGGTATCTTTCTGTCCATTACGAACAACACGCTTCGCCTGCTCCTTCACCGGTGGATTGGCAAGCTTATTGTGAATTTGTGTGTGTGGTTCCATTCGCTTGGAAATTTTTTAGTTAACCCTAAACACCACGGCAGTCATGAAAGCCTAATGTACCGGGACTGCAGGCGGACTTTTATTTGTTCGTGCAAGACCTGTAGAGGCACAAGAATTGGGAGGCATGGTTAAGTTCTCTCCTTTCAACATCTGAACCACCACTTTAATGGATGGAGGATATAGATCCACTGGGTTCCATTGGATGCACCAAAGATGAGTGATGCCACTTAAGAAGAAAATAAAATTATAGAAAAGATAGTTGTAAGAGCATCTCCAAGAAAATTTGTAAAGCACCTTCAAATTGGCATGTTAGAACTTCAAATTCAAATTGAAATTGGCATGCCACCTACTTAGGCACTCAACGTGGTAAATTTTTATGCACTTGTCATATGTTGGTTTAAGTAGTGTTACGTGACTAATATTATAACACTCTTTTATGCCAGTAATCTAAAAGATATATTTTTTTTTGTAAAACACTCATTTACGTGACTAATTTCATAGCTAAAAAAAAAAAAACTAATGTTATAACACTCTTTTAAATGACTTACGTGTAAAAATATATGACTAGATGAAAAAAATAAATTTGCTTGTGGAGTTCAATAAAGTCAAAGACAAAACACGATACAGCGTAGGTGAAACCGTGAAACGACAAATTTGCTCGTGAATCCAATGTAGAGCTCACATTAGTGAAAACTGAAAAGCTGACTGTGCCACAAGCGCTTAGAAGGAATTGACTGATTTACTTTTCAATGTGGCTCCATTATTTGCCTCGTACTAATCAGCAAAGAAGGAATTGACTGATTTACTTTTCATTGGCATGCATACTTAATGATGGTTGTGCCCCTTGCATGTCAATGGTAAGAGCCCACTTCACTTGGACATCTTTGTTTTGAGTGGAAGACCTTGAGTCGTTCCACTAGTACAGACTTCAAAGCGAAACCTCGTTGAAAGTTAGAGAAGAACTACGATCTAGACTTTGAAGAAAATTCAATGGTTCCCTTTTTTTTTTTTTTCCTTCTTTTAATTATAAGTGATATTCTATATTAATTTACATTAAAAAAATAAAAAAAAATTTACGCTCGAGGTGCAATGGATTAAAGAAGAAAACTTTAATTATCATAACAATCCAACACTTGCCAATAGTTTCCTTTCTCGTAGTTTGTTCATATCCTCATATTGATCAATGTGTAATCACCATTATCTTGTTTAATTTTGGTTGAGGTATGCATTAAACTTTGAGACGTATTTCAACAATCTGGAAGAGATGTGACTAGACCAATCTCTCTAGTTGGTAATGTAACTCATCTTAAAGTGATTATTGTTCAAGAAAAAGTGAATTCTCACTAATAATTCATCATTACAATCTCACTATGTTGCGCAATTATCACTCTCAATATGCAAAAGTACTAGAAAAAAAAAATTAATGTTACAAAACATATTGATTTGAATGGGAAATTGAGAACCTAGAAACTTTGAAGGATCATAAATAAGCAAGCATGGCAACAATATATCAGAATTTATAAATTGACACACACCAACTTCTTTGTTTGGATTCATAAAAATATAAATTTGGAATTCCACATGGAAAAAGAAGTTGGAATTTGAGACCTCAATTCCCTCAGTTTAAATTTCATGTAAATATGTGTTATTTCTAAATTTCTATGAGGGAGAGTTTAAAAATAAATAAAAAATATCCGTATTCAAATTCCCTTGTTCTTTTAGGTTAACCAAACAAAAAAAATTCACAAATTCTAAAAAATAAAATTTCATTTTAAAATTTCTTAATAATATTATATTTCCTCGTACAAACAAAATGTAACATTACCTGTACCTATAACTCCGTTTTTCATATTACCCCTAAAACAATTTTTTTCATAATTCAATTTTACCCTAAAATTTTAATTTCATTTCACAATTACCACCGACGTGTTTTATTTTTTACAATGTCCTACGTGTGTCCCTAAGGTCAGTCAAAGTCAACGACACGCCATGTGGAGTGTTGGACAAGTATCCAAGAGTGTTTGAGAAGTTTTGTGTCTGTTTTTGTGTTTGATACGTCACACACGTTAGTGTATTGAAGTGTCGTGTGTAACTCAGCACATAACTAAAGCAGTATGGTGTTTTCTTTGAAGCTGCATTGCGCGTCTCCCATCTGTCGTTGTAGGAATCATTATCAATTAGGCTTTAGCTGTGTCACGCGTGGTTTTATGCCAGTAATCTAATAGATGTTTTTTTTGTTTTTACAACATTCATTTACGTGACTAATGTTATAACACTTTTAAATGACTTATGTGTAAAAATATATAACTAGATGAAAAAATAAAAGAAAAACTAACGAAAAGTCCTTAAAAACTTTAATTTTAATGAAAATGACAAAATAAAGATGTAAGTGAATAGTACCAGGAATGACTTTTTAAGATAAAAATATCATTAACATTAAAAGTGAATAGTACCGATAATATTTCATTAAGATTCCCAAAAATAAATTTGCTTGTGGAGTTCAATAAAGTCATTAGAGAAAACAAGATATGACTTAGGTGAAACCGTGAAACAACAAATTTGCTTGTGGATTCAATCTAGAACTCGTATTAGTGAAAACTGAAAAGCTGACTGTGCCACATGCGCAAGTGGCTCTACTATTTGCCTAGTACTAATCAGCAAAGAAGGCACTGACTGATTTACTTTTCATTGGCATGCATACTTTATGGGGTCAATAATGATGGTTGTGCCCCTTGCATGTCCATGGTAAGAGCCCACTTCACTTGGACATCTTTGTCTTAGGTGGAAGACCTTGAATCGTTCAACTAATACAGACTTTGGAGCGAAACCTCATGGAAAGTTGGAGAAGAACTACGATCTAGACTTTGAAGAAAATTCAATGGTTCCCTTTTTTTTTTTTTCCTTCTTTTAATTATAAGTGATATTCTATATTAATTTACATTAAAAAAATGAAATTTTTTTACGCTCGAGGTGCAATGGGTTAAAGAAGAAAACTTTAATTATCAGAACAATCCAACACTTGCCAATAGTTTCCTTTCTCGTAGTCTGTTCATTTCCTTGTATTGATCAATGTGTAATCACCATTATCTTGTTTAATTTTGGTTGAGGTATGCATTAAACTTTGAGACGTATTTCAACAATCTGGAAGAGATGTGACTAGACCAATCTCTCTAGTTGGTAATGTAACTCATCTTAAAGTGATTATTGTTCAAGAAAAAGTGAATTCTCACTAATAATTCATCGTTACAATCTCACTACGTTGTGCAATTATCACTCTCAATATGCAGAAGTATTGGAAAAAAAAAGAAAAGAAAATTAATTACAAAACATATTGATTTGAATGGGACATTGAGAACCTAGAAACTTTGAAGGATCATAAATAAGCAAGCATGGCAACAATATATCAGAATTTATAAATTGACACGCACCAATTTCTTTGTTTAGATTCATAAGGATAGAAATTTAAAATTTAGCATGGAAAAAGAAGTTGGAATTTGAGATCTCCAATCCCCAAGTTTAAATTTCAAGTAAATAGTGTTATTTCTAAATATCTATAAGTGAGAGTTTAAAAAAATTTTAAAAAAAATCCGTATTCAAATTTCCTTGTTCTTTTAGGTTAACCAAACAAAAAAAATTCATAAATTCTAAAAAATAAATTTTCATTTTAAAATTTCTTAATAATATTATATTTCCTCGTACAAACAAAATGAAACATTACCTTTACCTATAACTCCGTTTTTCATATTACCCCTAAAACAATTTTTTTTCATATATCAATTTTACCCTAAAATTTTAATTTAATTTCACAATTACCACCGGCGTGTTTTTTTGAAAATGTCCTACGTGTGTCCCTAAAGTGAATGTTAGTCACAGTCAACGACACGCCATGTGGAGTGTTGGACAAGTGTCCAAGAGTGTCTAAGAAGTTTCATGTTTGTTTTTGTGTCTAATACGTCACACACGCTAGTGTATTGAAGTGTCGTGTGCAACTCAACAAAAACTAAAGCAGTATGATGCTTTCTTTGAAGCTGTTTTGTGCGTCTCTCATCTGTCATTGTAGGAATCATTATCAATTAGGCTTTAGTTGTGTCACGCATGGTTCAATTCACTCGGAAATTCTTCAGTTAACCCCAAAGACCACGGCAGTCATGGAAGCCTAATATCCCGACACTGCAGGCAGACTTGTATTCGTTCGTGGAAGACCTGTAGAGGCAGAAGAATTGGGAGGCATGGTTAAGTTCTCTCCTTCCAACATCTGAACCTCCACTTTAAGGGAGGATTAACAAAACATTTCCGGTACTGTTCACTTTTAACGAAAAATTACATTTATACATTTCCCTGGTACTATTCACTATACCTTTAAAAATGGCTTGTCATTAAAAGGGAAGTTTTTTTGGACTTTTCATTAGTTTTCCTCCACTTTAATGGATGGACGGTCTAGATCCACCGGGTTCCATCGGATGCACCGGGGATGAGTGATGCCACTCAAGAAGAATATAAAATTATAAAAAAGATAGTTATAAGAGCATCTCCTATGTAATATGTAATATGTAAAATGCTACCCACTTAGGCATTCAAAGTGTTAATTTTTTATTCACTTGTCTTATGTTGGTTTAAGTAGTCTTTGCTTTGATTTTTTTTTTTTTTTTTTTGACAAACAATAGTGTTAGTGAGTTATCTTGTTAAGTTGTTAGGAGGAGGAAATCGATGAAGATCAAATCCACTTTAGAGTGCATATCCATCATTACTTTCCTCCACTTATTTTAATAAGTAGAACACATTGGATCTTTATGCTAATTATAATTCAATGAAATCTTAATAGGTCAAATATAAAGATAGTATTTTGAATCTTAACCTGGTCACTTGATGTGACAAATATAATTCATCAAATCTTGATAATATAATACATGTTTACTGTCATGCAAAAAATTTAAAAAAAAAAAATCTTTCTAAATTACTATTTTTTTTGATAAATTGATATCTTGCTATATTAATAGAATTTGGGTGGTCCCAAGGTTGTTAATGTGCGTTTTAGGCAAGCACAACATAGAGAAAACTCAAAGTTCTCAATTTTCTAGGCATAAAAAAGCATCAAACTAAACCAGCATCCTATTCGGTGTTCAAAATTTGGTTGAGAAGTCAACTATCGCACAAACATACAAAATCGCCACATAAATACTACCTCTTAGTAGCCTCTAACAATGACACGCGTGTAATCATTATTTCTCTTGGCACTGAGAAGTAAACATTCGAGGGAGAATCATGTGATGATAGAGTTGAACTAACTATGTATTTTAGCACCTATAATCTAAATAATATTTTTTTTTTGTTTCTACATCACCCATTTACGTGACTAATGTTGTAACACTCTTTTAAGTGACTAATGTATAAAGATATATAACTAGACGAAACAATAAATTTACTTATAGAGGTCAATAATGTCGTAGACAAAACAAGATATAGCTTAGATGAAACGATAAATTTGCTCGTGGGTCCAATGTAAAACTCATACTAGTGAAAGGTTGACTGTGCCACATGCACTTTGGCAAGTGGCTGAATTATTTGCCCTGTACTAGTCAGCAAATTCGTCTATTAGAAATTGAGTTATTTATTTGAAAAATAGAAGAAATTAACTGATTTAGTTTTTTTTTTTGAAAAAAAAAAAGAAATTGACTGATTTAAATTTTTTATTGACATGCATAAAAAAAAAAGAAATTGACTGATTTAAATTTTTTATTGACATGCATACTTTATGGGGTCAATAATGACGGTTGTGCGCCTTTCAGTAAATGGTAAGAGCCCACTTCACCTGGACATCTTTGTTTTGATTGGAAGACCAACTTATAGACTTTGGAGCTAAACCTCATGGCAAGCTAGATAAGAACATGATCTAGACTGAGAACAAAATTCAATGGTTTCCTTTTTCTTTTTATTGTTTATTATTTTTCTTTTTATTGTAAGTGATATTCTGTGGTAATCTACAATAAAAAAAAAAAAGAAAAAAGTTTACACTCGAGGCGCAACGAGTTGAAAAAAAAAACATTAATTAGCAAAACAATCCAACACTTGTTAGTAGTTTCCTTTCTAGTAGTTTATTTATTTCCTCATATATATCAATGTGTAATCGACAATATCTTATTTGATTTTTGGTTGAGGTACTAATTAAACTTGAAACATGTTTCAACATTTTGGAAGAGATGTGACTTTGAAGGATCATAACTAAGTAAGCATGGCAACAATGTCTATCGAAGCTAGTTAAGAACTGAGGTGTAAAAACTTGAGGAAAGATTTTTGCATAAAAGTTCTGTGGAAAAGTGATGCATATTGGCCAGCCATTGGTTTCAAGTGAAAAACCAAGCAATCCAACAAACCTCGAATGTACTTATTTAGCCAGACAAACACCTCGAGCTATCGAGCACATATGGTACTTAGGTACAATGGTTACACTTCTCATGAGTCCTAGTAACATACATAAGTGTGTGTGCACATATCTATCTATATATCTAAGTAGATATGTTACTCTAATTCAGCAATAGCTTCTAACTGAATGTTTAGATTTCTTGCAGGTGTAGTTGCATTTGTTCGTGCAGGACCTGTAGATGCAAAAGGATTGGGAGGCATGGTTAAGTTTTCTCCTCCTTCCAGCATTTGAACAACTTCTTTCATGGAAGGACGACCCGCTGGGTGCCACTGGATGCACCAGAGCCCTACAATTGCGAGTTTCTTTGGTGTTTTACCATCTCCTTCCTCCCCAAGATGGATCCGTAGGTCATCTCCTTCTTCTAGAAGATTATAGATCCATTCTGGATAGTAAATTTCAGTTGGTGTTGCTGAGGTTGAATCAATATTCTTCCTTCCCCCTACCATCTCAAGCAGCAGCATTCCAAAACTATAGACGTCCGACTTATAGGACACATTTCCAAAGTTCCTGGAGAACACTTCAGGTGCAATGTAGCCCATAGTCCCTCTAGCTGTAGTCATGGACACTATGCTTTGATCCTTAGAACACAACTTGGCCAAACCAAAATCAGAAATTTTTGGAGTGAAATTGTCGTCTAATAAAACATTATGAGGCTTGATGTCGAAATGGAGGATTCGTTGATCACATTCCTAATGAAGATAATAAATTCCCTTGGCTATAGCAAGAGCAATATCCTGTAACTTGTCCCAACCAAGAAAACGATTGTTATTGTCTGCCGATGAAATGAAATCGTGCAGTGAACCATTGGCGAAGAACTCATAAACGAGAGCTCTGTTAAACCCATCAGCACAGAAACCAACCAAACGAACCACGTTGACATGGTGGATACTTCCCATCATTCCAACTTCCTTTATGAAATCTTCCCCATTTCCGTTGGAACTATTGAGAACTTTTACAGCAACAAAGCATTCAGAAGAAAGTTTTCCTTTGAAAACAGTTCCATAGGCTCCTTGGCCTAACTTGTCCTGGAATTGGTTTGTGATCCTCTTAATATCTGCATAGGAATACCTGCTTGGTTTGTGAGCGTTGTAATCTTCTAAAAACTTTTCAATCTTCAATTGACTCTCCTTTTCTTTTCGATTAGACCTATAGACACAATAGGCTGCAACGACCAGTAGTAATACAACAAATGATCCCAGGGTTGTACCTGAATCAAACAAATCCTTGAGTAAATAATAATATTCCCGACGGTCTAGCTAGACATGAAATAAAATAAAAAGCCGTCAGACTACTCACCTGCGGCCACTAATTTCCTTGTTAGACCTGAAAAAAGCATTGACAAATTTAGTAATAGTGATGATCTACTGCTCGGACAAATTTAGTAATAGAAGAAAACAAATTACTCTTTGCCTAGTCATTTGAAATTCATATCAAATGCGTTGCATCTAGTTATTTGAAATATGTTCAGTCGGATGCTTGGTAGATAAGTAAGCAGCAAGTGCAATAATATAGCACAATATATGTAAAATAAAACCAAGATTGAAAATATAGGCAGACTTACTAGGTCTGTTCAAGGGAACACATTGAATTTCAGTGTTGGTGTGATTGTAATTGATTCTACACTTGTTGCCCTCTGCTTCACACTCTGTACAATTTGGTTTCTTCCATTTCAAATTAGTACCCTCAAGACCATAATAGTGGATCTGTGGAATCGACAAAACATCGTACATCTTTGTACACGACTCTAGTAGCGGATAGTCCACAGTGGTCTGGGAAGATTCAATGGCATAAACTCTGTAGCCAGGGTCACTAATGCAGGGGACCTTAGCACCTTCTAACTCTCTTTCAGCAGGGCAGTGGAATAAGGTAGCGTTGGAAGGCATGGATTCTTGGAAGTAGAATTGAGAGGCTGGCAATGAGATGTTGATGTTATCAACTTCTAAAGGCTTTAACAGCAGGCAATTACGCGGTTGATAGACTTGGACTTCCTGACGCTTGTAATCTATGCGTTTCACCAAGAATTTCACCACTACCACTCGGTGCTCCTGTCCGTAGTCACCCTCATTCGCATGGCAATCAGATGTCGGACTACAGTGATGTCCACGGTGAAACAGAATATGGATGGCCTCGCTATCATCCCCGCATTTGGATTTTTCACAAGCATAGGCATTCTGGGTTGCTCCGAGCAATGTTAACAAAGTCATTGAGAATATGCGAACCCAAGAGAGATTGAGCTGTAGCTGCTGCATTTCTGAGGTATTTTTTTTCCAAGCAGAAGAACAAATAAATGTTAATAGTTTAACACAAAAGACTGTGTAGAGTACTTGACCATAAAAATGCAATTGATACGGGTTTACCCCAAAGACCACGTCACGGAAGCCTAGAAGGTATTTACTGTTTTGGTCAATACTTAATTCCACAGCGGAAAGAGAGAGTCATTCCCTTTTACCTTTACATGTGTAAAATCTTTTCTTGTGCTTATATATAAATTATTTGTATTGTTACGCACTTTCTGTGTCAAACCTCGCTGATATTTTTCTCCATGGGAATGAGTGGAAGGTCCTCCTCTTCCTCCTCCTTGTCTATGCGGTTTTTAATTGCAGCTTTTATTGTTTTTAGCTTATCCCCTCAATCCATTTGTAACGCCACCCGGCCAAAGTGTACGTCTTCCTGCGGCCATATCCGCAATATAAGCTACCCTTTTCGACTAAAGGGCGATCCGCGCCACTGCGGCGACTCAGGATACACTCTGTCTTGTGAGAACAACAAAACCATACTAAACATATCTTCATCTGGCGATTACTACGTACAGGCAATCAACTACCATAACCAAACAATCCGAATTGTCGATCCAGGCCTTGACAAGAGCAATTGCTCCTCCCTTCCTCTTCATTCTCTGTATCTTCCTCATCGGTATTTCCATCATCGGTATTTCCAAATTCCGACGACAACTGGGAATTGTACAGCATCATCAACAGATTCATCAGCGATATGTACGGAAATTGGCACAACAAATTTAACATTTTTCAAGTGTCCGCGTCCAATGAATTCATCTCTTTACGTGGATGCTGCTCCATGTTTTCCTGTTCAATCTGCTTCTACTTCATCTTCGTCGATGTCGTCATCCCAACCAAAATCGTATGGCTATGTCAAGATTGGATATTTAGAGGTAGGGCAGATGAAGGACGGTTGCAGCATAGAGCGAACGACTTATGCCTACTTGTTCGACGGCTACAACGCTTCTTATAAATCCATACACAATTCTCTGGTTTATGGATTTGAGCTTCAATATGCCCCTGATGGTCCCATTCTCTGCGAAAACCAATGGCAGGGGTATTTTGAGTGTTATCCGCACAGCGTTCCAGGTGAGTAGGGAATAAATCTCAATTTTCTTTTTTACTTCATTATCATCTTTTGTAGGAAATTCATTCCTATAAAATAAATAAAATTAAAATTAAAAGAGAGTTTTAAAGAAAAGTCCATAATACTGTTCACTTTAACGAAAAACCACATTTTAACACTAAAAAGTCAATTCTGGTACTATTCATTTTACTCTTTACTTTGTCCTTATCGTTAAAACTTAAAGTTTTTAAACCATTTTCATTAGTTTTCCTAAATTAAAATTGTAGGGCCATGGTCATCCTTTGTCTCTTTTTTGGTCATCTTCAACTAAAAGAGCTAAATAGATAGCTCTGTAAAAAGTTATATTTAAATAAAAATGTTAGGCTAATTTCATATACCATCTTCAATTGAAGAGACTAAACATAGCCATTTAATAATTTATTAGTTTTAAACTTATATGTTAAATTTATTGGTTAATTTAAGTAAACTACTTTTGGATGTTTTTAAAACTAGTCATCGAATTTGAATCAATTATTGTAACTAAGTAATTGGGCACCAAAAAAGGCTAAGAAGAGGGCTACATTTGACCAGTATGTCATCTTTTAGCTTGTGGACCATTAGAGATGACGAAATATGTTAAACAAAGAAATAAAAAGTTTGAGCAAGTGACCATTTACCACAACGGTGGAAATGTATTATGCTCTTACATGATGACATGGGTTCGAATTCTGTTAGTGGCTAATCTAACCATTTAACTTACTAATGTAAAAAAATAAAAAAATAAATCAAAGTTTGAAATTTTAATTTAAAATCAACGGGGGTGGACCCAAGTATTTTACATTTTTCCCTCTTTGCCACTGCAGGTTTTTTCCGATTTCTATGGGCACTGATTCTAGGTAAGAGATTTATATATGGGAGATTATATCACATTTAATTTATCCTCTATTTCGAGAGTTCTATATTCCTTTTGAATTGGTTTGACCCTTTGGCTTACACCCCTTCATCAAGAGGTGCTACTTCCTAAAGAACGTGTTTTTTCAATTTGAATTGATATCCAAATATTCAAACATGTTGTGAACTTTAAGAACATTTATAAAGAAGATGTTAAATCCAAAACATCGAAGTATTTTAACAAAAAAAAATATAGTATTCAAGTGTTTGATATGTTGTAGACTGTAGTCATGTAAATATCTGAAAATAGTATAATATTAAATTATAAAATAATAATTTATTTTATTTATTATTTATAATCTCTCCTATTTTCACTCTCTCTCCTGTCCCTCATTTTCTCCGCCACTATTCCTCCCTCATCTCAATTCTCAACTTCACTGGATCCTCGAGAGCAACCCCGTCGTCAGTGGTCGCATGGCCACCGTCAACATCTCCACCCACACCTTCGAGGCCGGCGCCTCCATTCTCCACTCCAGGAACTTGCACGCTTTGAACTACACCAATCTCCTCAACCTCGTCGTCAAAAGCCCCTCCTCCTCTATTCTGCGCTTCAAATCAAAGCTTCCCTTTGCTGATGAGAGTGTTTTGGTTTCCAATTCACTCCTCATGCTCTTCAGATACGGCTTCTCCCTTGTCAGGATGGACAAGGTTGTTGAGGTATAAAAGTAAATAAATAAAAGGTTTGTTTTTTGGTTTTAACTTAGGGTTTTTTTGTTGAATTTGGTAAATTTCTTTGTGTGGTACAGGTAAGATTGTTTGGCATCTTATTAATTTATTGGGTGTTAATTTGGTGAAGTCCTTGCCTATGAGAATCATCAATCCTGCTACTGAAGAAATCATGGTCCTTTTCTCACCCTAAGCATTTCTGTCAATTAAATTAATTTCTGGGTTGTTTTCTAAATTTAATTACTGTTTAATCATCGCATTTGATCGTGTGTAGGATCTAGAAGGAGGAGAGGGATAGTCGTTGGTGCAGTCGTGGTGGTGGTGGTGGTGTTGAGCGGGAGTGGGATGGACGGCGGCGGTCCTAGGGGTCTGATGCGGGGCGAGGGAGTAGGAAAGAGATCCTTCCATTTTGTTGCAGGGACAAGGACTCATTTTGAAAAACTAACGAGGGTGTAGGAAAGTTTCATTAAACATGCACTGTCGCTCTGCATGTTTTGGAAAAGGGCTAGATTTTCAAAGCTATGTTTTGCTGCATGAGCTTTTAGTCTTTTTATTCACCCTCAATTTAAAAAAGCTGGTTTTAGAGTGTTTACCAAACACTAAAAAGACCCCAACTTTTTTTCATACATGCATTTTTTTTATAATTTCAGCTGTACCAAACTGGTACTAAGAGCCCCAGACTTTCTTTAATAACACTATATTTTTGTTACACCTTACAAGAGTGGTATTTAATCAATCACATAAACATGTACCTAACAAATAATATAGTGCATCCTCTATGGATATGAAAAGCTGCAACAAATTTCAATGTTAATCCAGGTGTGCGTACGTAACTACCTCCAGGGTATATGTATGATGGCTTATCAGAAATTTTTGAATGATGGCCTATCAGAAATTGGAAACCAAAATAGCTCCCATAATTTATTAGGGGCTATATCTATGATGGCTTAACAGAAATTTTTATCTATAATAATGCTTTGCACTTCGAAAGCTAGCTAGTTATTTCTCTTTGATTTTGTTAGTATATCTTCTTGTATTTCTTGGGTATTTAATGTTCTTCACAATATTAAGTTTGATTTACTCTTCGTTCTGTTCTAAATGCAGATTTTGCACTCTTTGGACTCGTTTGTTACGGTAAGAGCTTTGCTGATATATATGATATCCAATATTGAGCATATACTTTGATCCAAGGCAACAAGTCAATTTCGTTTCTCATGATGTTTTTTGTGATTTACTCCAATGTTCAGGACTACTTGTTGGGGCAAAATTTCTATTTGGGGCACCATTCGTGACTGTGTTTTTGATCTATACATGGAAAAGAAGGCATTTGTCAATGTACAACTCCATAGAAGAATTTTTGCATGGTGAAAAGAATTTTGTGCCAATAAGGTATTCGTACTCGAACATCAAGAAGATGTCTAACAAATTTAAAGAAAAACTTGGTGAAGGAGGGTATGGATCAGTATTCAAAGCAAGGTTACGGAGTGGACGTTTTGGGGCAATTAAGATGTTGGATAAGCCCAAAGGCAATGGACAAGATTTCATCAGCGAGGTAAATACTATTGGGAGGATTCACCATGTTAATGTGGTTCGGCTTGTTGGTTATTGTGTTGAGGGATCGAAGCATGCTTTGGTATATGATTTCATGCTCAACGGATCTCTTGATAAATACATTTATTGCAAAGAAGGAAGTATCTCATTAAGTTGCAAGACAACGTATGAGATTTCTCTTGGAGTGGCTCAAGGGATCAAATATCTACATGAAGATTGTGACATGCAAATATTACATTTTGACATCAAGCCTCACAACATTCTGCTTGATGAGAATTTCATACCGAAGATTTCTGACTTTGGGCTTGCAAAATTATACCCGGTGGATAATAGTATTGTGTCTCTAACAGCAGCAAGGGGTACAATGGGATATATGGCTCCTGAGCTATTCTACAAGAATATTGGCGGTGTTTCATTTAAAGCCGATGTTTATAGTTTTGGAATGTTGTTGATGGAAATGGCAAGCAGAAGGAAGAATTTGAATGCATTGGCAGAGCATTCAAGTCAACTTTACTTCCCTTCATGGGTTTACAATCAATATAATGAAGGAAAGGACTTCGAGGTGGGAGAAGTTGTAGAGGAGGAAAAACCATTAACAAAAAAAATGATTATAACCGCCTTGTGGTGTATACAATTGAAGCCAAGCGATCGACCTTCAATGAAGGAAGTCCTACAGATGCTCGAAGGAGATGTTGAATTCCTTCGAATGCCTCCGGAGCCTCTTCTATATCCACAAGAGATGCCCGTAGTTGCTCCTAATGGTAATCTGAATCCAACATATTCTAAGGCGGAGTTAACATCTTCTTTGACGGGTAGGTGAAGACACGCAACTAGCATAGGCTCTGTCAGTTTGAATCTCAATGCAATGTTTCTGGTTTTGTAGTAGTACTGTTTGCTTGTACGTTGAACGTGATGTTAAATATGTTTAGTACGGCATATTTTCATGATTCCAGGGATAAATAATAGCATGTTTGGTACTTTACTTGAATCTAACTTTTTTAAATCAAAAACAATTTTCAAGTTTTAGGTTTTAAAAACTTGTTTGGTTGGACTATTTTAAAAAATTGAACTCAAGATTGATTCAAATATATAGATCTAAAAACATAAAAAGGGTGTTTTAGAATTTTTAAATTTAAATTCATTCATTTCTTTTCTCTTCCTCCTTCCCTTTCACTCCAAATCTCTCTTTTCTTCTTTCACTTTTTTTTTTTTTTTTCGTTTCTTCTTCAATCTGTTTTCTTCTTGTTTTAGGTTCTTTCTCACTCATTTTCCTCTCTATCTACTCTGATCCTCTCTTCTTTCTCTTTCCTTCAATCATCTTTTACTTTGTTTCCTTATCTCTCCTTTTTCTCCCTCTTCTACGATCTCCTCTTTTTAGATCTCTTTATCTAGTTTAAGTTGTAAGATTTAAAATTTTTAAATCGCAAACCAATCAAATGTTTTAATCTTAAAAAAAATATTTTTAAAAAATGTTCTTAAGAAATGTTTTGATAAATGATAAAAAAAATTTCAAATAAGATACCCAACATGCCCTAACATATTCATGAAGGACACCGTTGTATGATTCATGAAGACGATATTTTCTAATTTTTGTTCCAAGAAATTATTGGTTGTGATGATTGTTCGCTCGTGCTGGTAATTCTGGTTCTCATGGGCTCATGCCGGCTGCACTTACATAGCTCCGGTTGTTATTTGTTAGTGGAGGGAGGGACCTCCTTGGTCAATATTCGAAACCCTTTTCTTTTTTATTTTTGTTTCTGTGAGTACAATGATATATTTACACTAAGTGAGGGAGGTTAGTTTAGGCTACATAATGGACAATCTAATTCGGTATTGAATTTTCCATTTACGAGATTCGAACCTAAGATCTTTTACTTACAAGTAAAAAATAATATTATTAGACTATAGTACAGAATGGCAATATTCGAAACCTTTTAGTTTGCCAAGTCATTTCTTGGTCAAAAGATTTTGCAGAAAGTTGAGGTTTTACCACAAAACTAATTGGCAATATGAGACTAGCTTAATTACTTAAGCACATGTAAAGTCCCTTTTTCCCCGACGTGGAATGCAGTCTCAAAAAAATTTCTGTCTGAGAATCCTTCCTTTAGTATTTGAAATGCTGCCTGCTTTGTACTGCGCAACCAGTTTATAGCTTTGGTGGAGGACTCAGCCTCCTCGTTATAATTTCCTAAGAATCTTGAACGTAATGTTTATCACTAGCTGGAGCATCATTGTAATTGTAAGCCAAAGGGAAGATTTGTTGATCACGTCCTTGGTGAAGATATTCAATTCCTTTGGCAAATAGCTAGATCTTGCAGCTTATCCCAACCAAGAAATTTGTTGTTATTGTCTGCTGATGAAATGAAATCATGTAGTGATCTAATGAACAAAAGCTCGTCTAAATCCATCAACGCAGAAGCCAACCAAGGGAATAGCATGGTTGATGTGACCCATTGTTCCCACTTTATTTATGAACTCTTACCGATCTCCCCTTCCAATTGCATAACTTCATATGGTTTACCACATCGTTTTCCGAACACACTAAAATATCTCTCTTTCCTTAGAACTATTGAGGACCAGCAGAAGATAGCTTTCCTTTAAGGTAAGAGATCCTCTTCAGATCATTTCCACCAAATTTACCCTATCAATCAATCCGAACCCTTGAAATTTTGACCAAACGGCTAAAATTATTGTAACTTTTAAAGATGCCCCCTGTTTTTAACCGTTGGATCAAATTTCAAATATCCGGATTGATTGATAGGGTAGAGTTGGTAAAAGGGATCCGGAGATGATCTCTTTCCTCTCTTTAAAAACAGTTCCTAGGCCTAACTTGTCTATGAACTGATTTGTAATCCTCTTAATAACTTGTCTATGAACAACTGTTAGGAAGTGTTGTTAATTCCTCTATGCAACAGAGTAGTCTGTGGAGTTCTCAAGAAATGCCATCAGTGGACCTGTATGCTTTGTTCAGACAGCACTCAACAGACCTGAATAATAGTTCTGAAATAAGGCCAAGCACTGGACATCATTGTTCCAACTATAGTAATCAGCGTGAGGGGAACCTAACCTTCCCATTAGAAAACACGTCAGTCAGAGAGCCCGGAAAACATACTGAACCACTTATGGGAACTAAGAGTGGTAGCATAAAGCATGTCAGTGAGCTCAGCAAAAATTCTATCAACGACGCTGATGGTAAGCATATACTCATGGAAAATCAATCAGTTGATTCAAAGTTACAGGAGCAACTATTTTCTCATGGTCAGTCACATAATGAGACAAGTACACATACTTCAAAAAGAAGAAAAGGAAAGGCAGACAGCGGGAAAAAGAATGCAGTTGACTGGGACATCTTGAGAAAGCAGGTGCAGGTCAATGGTAGGAAAAAGGAAAGAAATAAAGACAGAATGGACTCACTGGATTATGAAGCACCCAAAAATGCTAATGTCAAAGAAATTTCTGAGGCAATCAAGGAACGAGGGATGAACATCATGCTAGCAGAACGGATCCAGGTACTCTACTATTAGTATTCAGTCCAAGTTCATTGCACCGTTAATTTTCTCCAGATAACATCACTTGATAGGTTAAGACTATCCCTCGTGATAACACTAGTTGCACAATGTTTGTTGGAATTCCTAAACCGACTGGTTAAAGAACATGGAAGCATCGATCTGGAATGGTTAAGAGATGTTCCTCCTGATGAAGCAAAGTAAGTCATTCCACAATTCATTATCTTGTAGAACGTTACAGCTACCCCCTTTATGCCATTAACAAGGCCATTATTCATCAGGTTTGGTATACAGTTATCACTAATGATTTTCCTGCAGGGATTATCTATTAAGCATACGAGGCTTGGGCTTGAAAAGTGTGGAGTGTGTCCGGCTTTTAACACTTCACCACCTTGCTTTCCCGGTAACAATTATGCGACTACTAAATACTAATTATGTTACAAGAGCCTGGGGACATCTTAAAATCAATGAAATTATATATGTTCTTTGCTCCATATAGGTTGACACTAATGTTGGAAGGATAGCAGTAAGACTGGGATGGGTCCCCCTCCAACCATTACCTGAATCACTCCAGTGACACCTCCTAGAAATGTAAGAAATGATAGTTTGGTAAATGAATGCTTACTTTTCCAGTACTGGAAAATGCTAACCGTATTCCCTCTAGGTACCCAATGCTGGAATCAATTCAAAAGTATCTATGGCCAAGATTATGCAAAATTGATCAACGAACCCTGTAAGCTCATAGCTTCATAAACTTTTCATATAAATTTGAGAGCACTACTTTCAAGTGCAAAAGTTCATGTAATTTTATTTATATTTGTCGACTTATGCTTTTACTGATTAATTGACTATTGAACCATAGTTATGAGCTGCATTACCAGATGATTAAATTTGGAAAGGTTTACATCGACATTACAAAACTATATGCAAGAGAAGATGGAGCTTCAAGAAGGTGACATGTCCAAGTCTTTAGTTTCCTTGACTTCGGAAGCTGCTTCTATCCCTACACCCAAGCTAAAGAATGTCAGTCGACTACGAACAGAGCACCAAGTGTAAGTACATTTCATCCCATAGTCACAAACCCACATATTCCTTGCAAAACACTGAACACAAACTGAAATATAGTAGGGCCAAAGTCCACAGCATGTTCAATCTAGGAAAACAAATTTAGCGTCGAAATTTTGAATTCGCCACCGTCAGAATTCTTGCAGGAATTTTAACAACTCTCTGCCTGGAGCCATACGTTCTGAGTTTTGGCACACATACCTATACAAGCATGTGTATACAGGCATAACTGTAAATCCTCTGACACCCTTATACATTCTGTGCTGGTATAATGCAGGTATGAACTACCAGATTCACATCCACTCTTAAAAGGGGTAGGTTAAAATTATATATATTATATCTACAATACATGAAGCGTTCTAATTCTCAATTAATCACCATTCAACTTTACAGATGGACAGACGGGAACCAGATGATCCAAGCCCTTACCTTCTTGCTATATGGACACCAGGTAAGCTCCAGACATAAAAGAACTGAGATACATTGTTAAGGATCTTGAGATCAATTCAAATTTAATGCATTTGATTCAGTAAGCCAAGTTAGAACTTGGGATACAGATGCATGGATGGCCTAGCACTAGCTAAATTTGACATCAGATGAATGAAGTCGAAATATTGTACATCTTACTAAGTGATACATTTATTTTACTTATATCAGGTGAGACTGCAAATTCAATTCAACCACCAGAAAGCAGGTGTGGCTCCCAAGACCAACACAAATTGTGCAATGAGAAGACATGTTTTTCATGTAATAGTATAAGAGAAGAAAATTCACAAACAGTCAGAGGGACGATTTTGGTGAGAAAAATTGATTCTTGTAATAAGTCAAAGACAATAAACTACATGCATTTGTTTACTGAAATTTAATTCAACTTGTTGCAGATACCTTGTAGAACAGCAATGAGAGGGAGCTTTCCACTCAACGGCACATATTTTCAAGTTAATGAGGTAAGTCTTATTGAAACTAATCTCCTTGAAGTTTATCTACAGAGCACAGTCTGGACAAAATTAAAAGTGGTCCAGAATCCTGTACTCCACTTCTGTAAGCCAGAATGTTAAAGCCATTACTTCCAGATTTATAAACAAAGTTCTATCATGATGCAGATGTTCGCGGATCATGAGTCTAGTCACAACCCAATAGATGTTCCAAGGGGGTGGATATGGAATTTGCCAAGACGGACCGTATACTTTGGAACTTCTGTATCGACAATATTCAGAGGTAAGTGATATGAAGATACCAGCGTTGCGATTTTCACATCCCATTTAGAGATGTATACTTATTACTTACAACGAAAATAATTATGTCCACCAGGTCTATCAACAGAGGGAATTCAATACTGCTTTTGGAGAGGTATGTGATACTAACTTCAGTTCTTCATAATACTTTGCGATAACTATCATGAGTTATCTTCTCAGGACTAGTTATATAACAAAGGTATACTTACCATGGTTTAAGAAAAAGAAAATGTAAATGATAAACTTTGAACTAATTTGTAATTTTTGATGCAAAAGACAAATCATTGATAGTGCAATTATATGTAATTAGCCAGAGGGTAATTAAGATATTTGACTGATGATTTCTCGAGTCCTGAGTGTCTTCAAAAGAAGGGGAAATAAGAGGGAGAGAAATCTGACGAAATTTTGGTGCGACTGTTGAAAACATTGTATTAAAAACCAGTGTATGTAATTTAGCAGTACAAAGTGACAAACAAGTTTACTTATTGACTGATTGATTTATATGCAGGATATGTGTGTGTGAGAGGATTTGAAAGAAAAACAAGAGCACCACGACCCTTAATGCCCAGATTGCATTTTCCTGCAAGTAAGTTGACCAGGACAAAAAATGAAGGGAAGAAACAGCATTGATCATGGTGCAAAGAAGATTTTCATCACACGACTGACTGTGAGAAGAACAATGACTAACAAATTCTATTGCATTCAATTATTTTTCCTCTAGATGAGCATTGACTATATGACAGGCAGGCAGCTGATAGCAAAGTATCATGCACAATATGTGAGATCTCATGATCAGTTGATTGTAGCCTGTATGTACATTAGTATTTTTCAATAAATGCCCAAAAAAAAGCAATCCTTCCGAAAAATGTCGCATTGTCACTATCCAAAAGAAGAAGATTTCTTCGGCAGTCAATAAACAAAAAGAAAAATTACATGTATGGATGCATGAATACAGAATATACATTAGATGAAGTGATACACAGCGAAGAAGGCAAAAGACTAAGGTAAACGAATCATCACAAGTATAGCCGGCCTATACTTAAACAAGAATGCCGTGTCATCCAGCGGAGCCTAAAAGAAGGTGACATGGGCAGACAGCTGACTCCTTTTCAATAGAAAGGAATAGCCAAACCAACCCAGCTGGTAGGTCAATCTCAAAAATCTTAACGGCCAGCAAACCGGAGACGCACTGCAGAATTCAGAAACATATTTTAATCCCTAATGCCAGTCATTTCCACATTCTTCTTCTTCTTATAAGCCTTTTTCCACTATGTGGGGTCGGTTGTAGGGGGATGCAACATGAGGACTTCCCAGGAGGTCACCCATTCTAGTACTACTCTCACCCAAAACTCGCTTAACTTCGGAGTTCAGATGGGATCCGGTGTAACATCCCACATCGCCTAGGGTAGTGATCCTTATATGTATGTTCTCATCCCTACCACTAGTACAAAAAATACTTTGGGTGACGTAGGTCCTTCGTCGCGCAAACCCAAAAAAACGTCGCGCAAAAATTTGCGTGACGAACCTTCGTCGTGCGACAAGCGTCGCACCAAGCCTGTGAAAGAAGGTTTTGCGTGACGAAGAAGTTACATGCGTCACGCAAAGTGTCTTTGCGTGACGTAGTACCATGCGTCACGCAAAGTGGGTTGGCGTGACCAATGTCTGCATCACGCAAAGTGGATTGGCGTGACCTAGGTGTGCGTCACGCAAAGTGGGTTTGCGTGACGTATGTGTGCGTCACTGAAAGTGGGTTGGCGTGACGTAGGATTCGTGTCACTCAGATTGGGTTGCGAGAGAGTAAGAGTGCGATTTTGCGGTTATGCGACGGCGGGAGAGAGGGCGAGGGTTGTTGCATTCGTGTCACTCAGAGTGGGTTGCGAGAGAGTGAGAGTTCTGCGTTCTAGGGTTTGAGAGTTGGTTTCAAGAAAGTGAGGGGGCCGAAGTGGGGGGAAGACTTTGCGTGACGTATGTGGCGTCGCGCAAAACAGCTTTGCGCGACGCATGTGCACATACGTCGCGCAAAGCTGTTTTGCGCGACGCCACTTACGTCACAAAAAGATGTTTTGCGCGACGTAAGTGCACGTGCGTCGCGCAAAGCTGTTTTGCGCGACTCACGCAGCCCTGCGTCACGCAAAGTCAACAGAAAAAGCGTTAAAACTTACTTTCTTTAGCGCCAAAATCTTGCGGGACACACAAAACGTCGCACAAATGGCCTTTGCACGACGTTTTGTGTTTAACGTCACGCAAACATACTTTGCGCGACGCATTTAGCTGCGTCGCGCAAGTTTTCGTCGCGCAAACATGTTTTTGTACTAGTGTACCTAGCACGAACCTTTTAGGGAGCTCACTGGCTTCGGGTTCTATCAGAACTCCGAAGTTAAGCGAGTAGCGCGAGAGAGCACTCCCATGATGGGTGACCCACTAGGAAGTTCTTGTGTGAATTCCCATGGGAAGTTCTTGTGGAGCGAGCCCAGGATGTGGTGGACCTCGGGCCGCAATGTGACAATTTGGTATCAGAGCCTAGCCCTGGCCGTTCCCTACTTAGCATGAGGCCTTTTTGGAGCTCGCTAACTTTGTGTTCCATCGGAACTCCGAAGTTAAGCGCGTAGCGCTCGAGAGCACTCCCATGATGGGTGACTCACTGAGAAGTTCTTGTCTGAGTTCCCAGAAACAAAACCGTGAGGGTGTGGTCGGGACCCAAAGCGGACAATATCGTGCTACGGTGGTGAATGTGGTGGACCCTGGGCCGGGATGTGACATCCGGTGCATGTGAGTTGGTATGATCGCATCTCAAGGATTCAACGTAAGATAGGAGTGCCTGTCGACTACCTGACACCCTCCTCGTCCTCGTCCTCCTTTATCCGGACTTGGGACCGACAATGTAAGATAAACTTACACAAACAGAGTTCCAGACATTTCCACATTGCAGAAGAAAAATTTTAGACAACATTTCTCAAATTATGTCCGGGGGAAAAGTCTATCTAAGGATCATTAGTTTTTCATCCGAGGCAATAACACACGCAAGCGTACTCTCAATTGAAATATTCAAAATGCTAGCAATCTTTTGCTTGTATTTTAAAAACTAGATGTCTGAGGTCGTCAAGGGTGTGAACAAAGTTACAGGTCATATTCAAATCATACAGAAACTCGACTGTTAAAAAGGTCTGAAAACATTTAGAACAATTTCTACACAAAAGAAATATGATAAAAGAATTTAATCAAATATTACACTGCTCAAGAAGGCTTCGATTCATTTAACAACCAACGTTTTAAATGAAGTTAGCTGCAACTGCACTAATATTTCGAAGATAGGCAGCTACAACGTTGTAAATGACATTTACCTGCAATTGTATAATGATGATGATGAAGAAATCCTCTCAAGCTTCTATTACTACGTTCTTTTAAAGCTGATACCACTCACAGTACTTCCGTTGAGCTAATATACCTCAAATAAAAACCTGCCTCTAAGACATTAATTCAAGGGAATTATTATTGACATTTCAAAAATTTTATTCTACGCTCTAAATTTTCTACACTCATCATAAGCGTAATTTTCTTTCCAAATATAGAGAACTGGAAATGTACAACGAGATTTTTGAAATGCCAATAACATTTCTCTAATTTAAAATAAATTCAGTTTATACTAAAACCGAAAACACGCTAAAACACTGTTCATAAGCACATTGTTGTTCCGGTTTTAACGCCACTTGGTCTCTTCTATTTCATTTATGCGACTGATCCCTTTTGACATCTGTGGCTCTCTTCGTTTCTGCTGTGCTGCAATTAAATTTACTCTCATCCCTAGAATCCAAAACTCCCTCATACGTCGCTCCTCTCCATGCCCGTCCCTTGCTTTTCATCCTGGCCTCTACTGCAATCACGCCGCTTTCCCTGCTTCCGACATCGTCCTGTTTATTGGGTAAGCTCTGAAACCTTTGTAGAACTCATGCATGTTGTGTTGATTTCAAATTTTCACTATCAATCACTCTCAAAATTCCACAAAACAACATTTTCTGTTCACATATATGAGTAATTAATTTGATTAGGTTTCTGGTCAGAGTTGCATTTATATTCTGCATTTTCTTGAAGAATTTAGTGTCTAATTTGAAAAATTCAGGAAGAATATTTGATTTTGTGCAGAACCCATCTACTAAAATGTCTAGATTTCTTAATGGACTTAAGGAAAAAGATGGTAACTTGGTTTATCCATCCCTCCAAATTTGAGATTATGTATTGTATTGAGATTTTTAGTGTCCAATCTAAAAAACCCAGCAAAAATCTTTGCTTTTTGCTAAAATTTGGTGGTTCGCTGGAAAAGAATCAAGGGTGCTAGAAAAAGATTGGTGGTGAGGTTATAAGAATATACATATTGTTAAACGTGTAAAAAAAATTCATATTATGTTTGGAATTTTGAGCAATTGGTTGTGTTCAATTACTATATGAAATTCAGAAATGCAATTCGGAATTTCAATTGAGGTCGGGATCTGATTGTAGAATTTGGGTCATGTTTGGTTGTGCTGAATCGGGTTTGATGGAGAATTTTTAATCATGATCAGAATCATGGGTTTTGTTTAAAAATGAAATTGGATTCAATTATATAATACTTTTAGAGAATGAAAATCTTATATAATGTTTTTAGAGAATGAAAACGAGAAAGTGGTGATGGACACAAAATAGTTGCCGATCAATTATGCTTCAACCTTGGAATGTGGGGTACAAACATTATGAAAGTGTCATAAGAGAAGCACCAAAAACCAAACTCAAGTTCCGGTGACTTCAAAGACAAGAAGGGCTCGAGCTTTGGGAGACATATTAAGTTTCATTGGTAGTTGTTGAGATAGGTGTGAGACATAATCACCCCGTTCTATGAATGCGCCACAGTTCATGCCTTTTGGTGCAGCTTTTCTCCTTAAACACAATTCCACCTGCAATGGCAGATTAGCCTTCAAGTCTCTAATTAGTGTGCAATTATAGAGTTTTGTTTAAACAGATGCATATATTTTTCACCCATATTTTCCAGGACAAAGGGGAAAAGAATCAAAGAAATGGGTTTATGTGAGTGTTTGATTATCCCATTTAATGTAACATCACGTGGAGAGTGTGACACTGATTGTGGTTTGTGAACACTACTGTCAAAAGAAGAGATAAGGTTAAAAGATGTGTTTTTGCTCACCAAATTGTTGGTTTTTGTAGAGACACCTTCTGTTATTATTCAGTAGATCTTTGCTTATTCTCAAGTGATTTTTGCTTATTCTTTTGACAATTAGTGAGTCGGCTATGTTAGAGGGATATAATCCTCACTCATAGTATAATGTTGTTTTTGGTAATTAATTCTGCAATGGTCTGTAATGACAATCGTAGTTGAATTGCATGTATGAAAATTTGGCCTTTTGTATGGAAATTGAATTGTGTGATTGAAAGTTTATAGTATTTTTTCCAATTTCCAGCATTGAATTCACAAAAAGAGGTAGTTGTCATCGTTCAAATTCAATTTCAAATAGTATTTCTGAGCCCATTGTTTCGTCGTGATCAGGTAAGGCTCAAGAAAATAGTAATATCAGTTTTTAAATAAAACCTTTTGTTGAATTTGAATATCTGCATGTTTGATTTTGGTATTGTAGAAATAGGATTTTTAATTTTAGTCTTGAGTAGGAATTTGATTGATGTTGCATTATGGGAGGAAATGTAGATTGAAAGTGTTTGCTTACCGTGTAAAAACAGCGTTAACTTTTCAACGTTTGAAGTACAATACTTTAGGAAAACGCCATATTTATGAGAATGGCAATAAATTAAAACATGCAAGTCTATCAATACCAACAGGCTTGCAGATATATTTTATGGTTTTCTTTTATGTTGAGAAAATTGGGATTCCTTTTAAAAGACTTTATTGATCATATGGTTAGGGAGTACTTATTGGAACTACAGCAAAGCTGCCAGCTTTGCTTTCTTTATCAGTCATTAGAAGAATAGTGGAAGCAGATGAATTTATGAGGGTTGGCTTATAGATGGATGGCTTCCTAATCTGTATGACTACCATGTTCACCGTTACTATTCAGGTTCGTCCAAAACTTGCTCAAAGAGCAGACTGTTAGTGATTTGAGCTGGTTGTAAATAGTATCATCACTTTGTAAATAACACTTTAAAATCATCTCTCTTACTGTAAACATGCTATATGTAAAATAATCACCCTAAACGGTCTTAAAACTAGCAGCATCCCGTGGGGGCTCAATCGTTGGTGTAATCTAAATGTAGTTCACAACATATACTTCATATAATACTAGTATGGACTGAAACTACATAAATAGACCCCACAAAATAGAATGTCGCACTTACACACAGATCAACTATATGTAACCCACATAAACAACGACGCCAAATTGAGATTTTATTTGTATTAGAGGTTCAATTTCCACGTTGCGTGAATTTAAAGGATAATTGTCGGAACACATTCAACAAAAGATATCCAAATAGTGTGATAAGTCAATTAAAATCCCATCAACAAACTTTCTATGATAATTAAAGATCTAACCTTGAAAAAGCAATATGCAATCTGATGCGAAGCAGAGAAATCAATGAAAGAGAAGATAGGTGAGCCAACCTACTCCAACACATGCGAACACAGTTTTGTATTGTACTTTTTTTTTTTTTTAGTTAATATCACGCATAACCAAAAATAGATTAGATGCTACCATCAACATTAAGGTCTCGTTTGGCATGTCGTATAAGGGATCGGATAGGACTAATAGTACGGACCTGGCCATTTGGTGTCCTCTGGTATTAAATAGTCGCCGTATTAATTTAATCAACCGGATAGGATAGTCGGGTATACACCTTCTTAATAAACCCTTCCAAAAGGAGTGGATTATTAGTCGGGTATAACCTTCCTCTCTCTCGCACTTCGTTCTCCACGACACCTCCTCTCGCCGTCATCCCTCTCGTCGTCATCGTTCTCCCGCTACTGTCCTGGTACTGTTGCACTGCTGCTCTCTTGGTACTGTCACTCTTCGTGAAATTTGTAAGTACTAGAAGAGTACTGAGCTCTGTTGGATTTGTAACCAAGTGGACAACAAGACAATATAACTTTCGGCTAGACAACAACTTGCAAATGCTTTTGGCTATAAAAAATTATAAAGAAAGAAAGGGAGAAACACCTTTCCTTGTTTTGGGGAGGAAAAAAGGGAAAATGTTTTTGTTTTTCTTCAACACCCGTGAGTTGGTTCAAGTGAAGTTAAATAGCCTTTGAAGCAAAGGGAAAAGGTGAGATAGCTCATTTCGGTTTTGGACAAAATAGAGCAAGGAGAGCAGAGGAGAGAGCATTCGGCTCTCCCATTTGAAACAGTGCTGCTCCTTCCCATTTGTTTGTAATCCCCTTTTGTTAGTGATCACTCAATCAAAGATATTTGTGCTACATTTTGTGGCTTTTGGGAGAGAAGGAATTTGGTATATGTTTCCATCTTCTCCATTTGTTCTTTGAGAGAGTGAGAGCTATTGGGTGTATGTGGACTATTGGGTTTGAGAGTTAAAACTCTATTTGTAATCTCCTTTTGACATTAGTGGAATTTTCTCGCCGTCTCGGAACTGGATGTAGGCTTACGCCGAACCAGTATAAATCCTTGTGCCTTTTTTTTTGATTATTTGTCTTGTCATATTTTGCCGTATTAGCTTTGGTTTCATATTTGAAGCTTCAGCACAACAAGCTCTTGATCAGGAAGTTGTCATTCCAGAGGCTTGTTCGTGAAATTGCCCAGGATTTCAAGATTGATCTGCGTTTCCAGAGCCACCTGGTATTGGCATTGCAGGAGGCTGCTGAGGCCTACCTTGTGGGTCTATTTGAGGACACCAACCTATGCGCCATCCATGCCTAGCGGGTTACCATCATGCATGCTGAACAATATTTCATCTGGGTAATTTTTAGGTATTTTTATGTATTTTTGTTCAACATTTAATTTGTTTATTTTTGTTCATTTGGTTGTCTGCAGCCTGACTGTTGAACAATATTTTATCTGGGCAATTTAAAAAAAAAAAAAAAAAGATTTTGCTTAATTTGGGGCTTTTTAATTTGCTTTTTATTTTGAAGTTTAGGATTTGAAAAGTATTTGGGTTTTTAGATAATTACATATTTATATTCGATATATGAATAATACGGTTATAGTCCGATACTGCACCAAACACCCGATTAATTTAGTCAGTACTATCCGGTAGCTATTTATCATATCCGACAAAAATAGTCAGTACAGTCCGAGCTGCCAAACGAGGCCTAAGAATAGTGGTTTTCGCATTTGACAGTTTTATTTTCAATGACTTTATGGTACTTATATTCCCAAAACCAAAAATTGGAATATGTGTCTCTAGGGTCGTCCCACTCAAATTCTTCAGGTTCTTCATGCGTTTCTCAATATCCACGAAGTTAGAGTGGCTTTTAGCTTGAGCGGCCGCTTGGTTCTTCTGCGATTTGTCGGCAGAGGCGTTGATTTTTATCAAGGTTTCCTAAATTTGATCCATGAAGGGCATCGGATCTTTACTGTTCTCAGGTGCGGCTGTCATTTCCTGTGGTTCATTAATCGCTCCGGGAGTTGAGGCGTTAGGCAACGGATTATCCACTCTTGGAATAACAGATGCATCGGAAGGTGGTTTGTCTCCACCAACGGGGTTAACCTTAGCGTTAACTGAGCTTTCTTTGGCATACATGCTTGTAGTAGAGTGATCTAGTTGAGTGGAATAAGAGTTTACTCTCAATGAAAGAATCAATTGTTGGAATCAAATTGGCAATTATAGACTTTTTTGCCATAAAACATCGCTCATCTTCATCTTGGTCCAGTCAGCATTAGACATACTTGCTAGCTTACTCTTAACACCTTCAGTAAAGCATGGCCTCCATTCTTTATTTCCATGTAACCCAATTAAAACTGGTCACACCCTTCTAAATGGATATCAACCAAATCAAGCTTTGATACCACCTGTTGTGAATATTGCGTTTAAGAATAGGAAAAAAAAAACTCTAGAAATCGAAAACAAAATAAACTAAGATAAATCACACCAAGAATTAACGTGATTCACTTATATGTACCTATGTTCATGGGGCAGCAATAACAATCTTTCACTATATCAATAATGAGTACAACAAATAATCTTGCCAAGCTTCTAGGACTAAGACTTAATGAAAAACCACAAAGAATAAGAAAAAGAAATACACTCTTTATCTCTTTTATTTTCTCTCTCACACATTTTGCCTTTATCTCACCCTAACTCCTAGAGTGGTATACAACTTATTGTTTTGATCCAATTCAAAACTAGTACAATAGTCCCTTTATATAGACATAATAAAGGTCTTCTTCAATAAATTCTAATTGGAATCTAGTTATGAATCATTCTCTAATTGAGAAATTAACTCCAATTCGGTAAACAAACTTCAATTGGGTAAACAATTCCAATTGGGAAAGCAACTCCAATTGGGTAACTGACTCTAATTGAGAAAACCACTCCAATTTCAATTGAAAAAAAACAATTTAATCTTCTAAGACTATTCCCAATAGCCTTAGGACAACTCATCATGGGCTGGAAAAACCCAACGTACTTGAACGAAGAGGAGCTAACAGAATACTTGGCGTAAAAATGAGTATAATGACATTCTAGGATTTATACAACTCAACTCACTTATTGAAATAAAGCTTTGTTATTGTATATACTCGAACGATGAATTTTGTACTATAGCTTTACATGAATATGATTAATTGATCCACCAACCATATTTATTTTGAATACAAAAATCAAGAAATTGTTGGAACTTGTGAGGGACAATTGTCCCACATCGGCCATACATCTTCATAGCATCATCTTTATAAGTGAGTCCACTCACTCCTCATTTTCAAAGAATCGGAACAAAGCTGTAGACCTTGGGCCTAGGAGTTGGGTGTATGGGCTCAGACGGACAAAACACTCAAGTGTGGCTTTTAAGTTTATATTTTTATGTTTTAGGTTTTTCCGAAAAGATAAGACCAGGTTTTTCCTTTTGAAGGGAAGCCATTATAAATATGGTTGTAGGATTAGAAACGAATAATTCAATTCCAGCGTTCTTTTATTTTTCACAGAGAAACACAAATCAATTCGCAAAGAATTCAGGTTCGAGTGTAAAAATTTGGTTAGATAGTTGGTTAGATAGTTATATCCTGCAAGATAGACGTCCAAAAACTATTGCACAAGTGTAAGGGCGTATTTCTTCTGTCTTAAGAGATTGCTTCAGCAAGCTTCTGTCCCTCTGGACAACAAGTCGATGATATTTGTTGTGATTTTACTTACAACTACATTGATTATTCATATTGTGATTTAAATATATAGTGATTTCCGTATACACTCTGTAATTATTTATATTTTATATAATCCATATCTGATTGGTTATAACATAAATGTGTGGGAGCAGTAAGGGTAGTGTTAGAGGCATGTGTACATTCTTACAGGACCTGTAGAGGCACGGTTAAGTTATCCTCCTTCCAAAGTTTTTTATAGCAACTGATACGACATTTTTCATTTCTACCTGATATTATATAAGTGTTGAGTATCAAAGATCCATGATGTTTCTTGATTCCAACCAAGCACCCAAATCCAGCTACATCCCAAATTATTGTGTTTTGTTTATGAATTGTTTCATCTAACTAAATTCGAAATAAAGTTTGGCCGAATAATTAGTTTTGCTTACGAATTAATTGGCTTTGTTAGGCAAGTGTTGAGATTTGATTAATTCAACTTTTGCACCCCATCACAATCCTCATCCTCCGAGGTTCCAAAGTGAAAATTTCATTATTCGAGTTGCAAACCATCAACTCTCGTTTCCCCCAAAAGACTTAAAAAATCAACTATATTAATTTTTTTCTTTCTATTTTAAGTCTCACGTCAATCTATGCCCTACCATTTAGAAAATGAGAATTCAACGCCATTCTTCTAAACCAAAGAGCATTTCAACGTCAATCTATGCCCATTCACAATCCTCATCCTCCGGACGCCAAAGAGCTTTTCAAAGTGGAAATTTTATTGTTACAGTTGTGAACCATCAACTCATGTTTCTATGTCGTTCTTGAAACTAAAATGACACATTAATCAACCTACTCTTTTAAATAGTTAGTTGATTTTTCCAAAATTATTGAGGTTTGATTAGTTCAACTTTTAAACTAATTAAAAGAGTAGGTTGATTAATTAAAAGTTAAACTATTAAA